CGCAATCGGGTACCCGATACCCGTACCCTACCCGATACCCGGCCGGGTACGGGTAGCCGGGTATCGGGTAGGGTACAGGTACGGGTACGCGTTTGCGACCCTGGTGCGGCCGGGTACGGTACGGGTAAGGAATCAAAACCCGTTTGCGACCTCTGGTGAAAGCACAACATTACAATGTTTAAGTGCGACGTTTAGCTGTTAATTCCACCCAGCATCATCGGGCGTTGAGCTATCATTTGTCATGGCCAGGTCGCTTCTGAAAAAAGAGCCGTATCGCTCAGTGGGGCCTGACCTGGTCAAATAAAACCAATATTCTGCAACAGTCACTGCATTCTTGAGTGTGTAAAGACGCGCGGAGGAAACCGCAGAGCCCAGAGAAAACCAACGCGTAGGAGTAGAGGGGGGGGGGCAGGGGATAGCACTGAATCCCTGTACAGATGGAACACGGATGGAAATTAACCCACCCGCTGTACCACCGCCAATACCCCCCTGGCAATTTAACACGTAGCAGGCTTTCGCGACCAATATTATTCATAATCAACGTTTTTGGGTTTAGATCGCGTTATTTATAAATGTGTCGTAACCCTCCACCACCCGACACGGCCAATCAGTAAAAAAAGTGTCATTTAGACTCTGTCTTATCGACAGACATGTTCTTCACCTGAGGACGGCTGCTTGCGTTGTGGCCGAAACGTCGTGAGAATTATTTCATTATGTTTTATTTTTATTATTGTATTACTTCCCTTCTACGTGACTTTACCGAAAGAACCAAGAAGATAGTTCACTGCTTTAGCCCACCTGGCAAGCTGGGGAGATGGCGACGATGACCCACCGACTGACCCCAACCTCCACCTTGTTACCGCGAGGGCGGGGGGTCGCGGCCGCCAAGAGTTGAGCCACACCGCTTCTATGTCCCTCCCCCCCCGATCCCCTGCAACCCCACGCGGCAGGCAACGCCCTCTGCACCATCAAGTCGAAGGACAAAGTCAAGGTGCTGACCTTCCGCGGCACGGCGTTCGAGGCGGCGGAGGCCCAGGGCGGATCGGCCACGGAGGAGGCAGCGGCCTCCGCGCCGACGGCCGCCGGAGTGTCGCAGTGGCTGGAGCAGAGCCTGACCAAGAGCGACCGGCCGGAGCTCACCAGCGCCAAGGTGGTCATCTCCGGAGGTACGGGGGTGGTGGGGGTGGGGGTGGGGGGGTCGCCGCTCGCCCGTAGCCCTATAGCCGGGTCGTTTCTGACATTCGTCATCGGATTCCTCCTCCGGTGTAAATTCATCTTCCGATTTTGATTCTGACAGCCGAGCCGACGCCGGTAAAGTGTTTTTTTTATTTTCCCGCCGCTGCGTTTTGCCGAGCGGCCTCGCGAGAGATCGTCACTCTGGCTCGATCGGGGGGGGGGGGGGGGGTGGGCGGCAACGGCCGTGTTGGGTTTTCAAGTCGTGTCGTTCTCACGCTTTCAAAGCGTCTTTGTGATTTCGAAACCTCCTACGACGACCGACCCCCACCGACACAACCTCGACCCAACTGCCTCCCTCTCCCTTTGTCCCTCTATTGCCCCCTCCTCCACCCCCCACCCCATCCCCCCACCCCCCCACCCCATCCCCCCCCCCCCGGTTTACCCCCCACAACTCGACGCCGCGCGCAGGCCGCGGGCTCAAGAACGGCGAGAACTTCAAGCTGCTGTACGACCTGGCGGACAAGATGCACGCCGCCGGTACGGCGGACTTGGCTACACGGGGTCACAGGGTGACGGGGTGACGGGGTCACCGAGTGACGGGGTCACGGGGTGACGGGGTCACAGGGGGACGGGGTTACGGGGGGACGGGGTCACGGAGTGATGGGGTCACGGGGGGATGGGGTCACTGGGGGACGGGGTCACGGGTCACGGGGGACGGGGTCACGGGGTGACGGGGTAACGGGGTGACGGGGTCACAGGGGGACGGGGTCACAGAGTGACGAGGTCACAGGGTGACGGGGTCACGGGGGGACGGGGTCACAGGGTGACGAGGTCACGGGGTGACGGGGCTACACGGAGGCACAGAACACGTGTGTGTGCGTGTGTGTGTGCACTGTGAAGCCACGTGCTCTAGGTGGCGCTGGAGGCTGCGCGTTTTTATGACAAAATCTGATCAAATCGTTCTGGCAAAAGATCCCCCCCCCCCCCCCAAAAATAACAAACCAACAACCGGTTTGCGACCCGCTGCCGAGAACATTGAAACCGTCCCAGCGTCCGCCACCCTCGCTCTGACCACCTCCTCCCCCCCCCCCTCCTCCCCCCCTCCTCCCCTCCCCCCCCCCCCCCTCCTCCCCCCTCCCCTCCCCCCCCCTCGTGGCACAGTGGGAGCGTCGCGCGCCGCCGTGGACGCTGGCTTTGTGCCCAACGACTTGCAGGTCGGCCAGACGGGCAAGATGGTCGCCCCGGTGAGTCGCCCCGCTCCGGCCCGTCATCTCGTCGCCTCTGCCGCACACGGGCGGGCAGAGACACCCCCCACCACTCCACCCACCACTCCACCCACCACTCCACGCACACACTCACCACTCCACCCACCCACACACCCACCACTCCACCCACCACTCCACCCACCACTCCACCCACCCACCACTCCACCCACCCACCACTCCACCCACCACTACCCACCACTCCACCCACCCACCACTCCACCCACCCACCCACCCCCCCACCACTCCACCCACCCACCCCCCCACCACTCCACCCACCCACCACTCCACCCACCACTCCACCCACACACACACCACTCCACCCACCCACCACTCCACCCACCCTACCCACCACTCCACCCACCCACCACTCCACCCACCCACCCACCCCCCCACCACTCCACCCACCCACCCCACCACTCCACAACTCCACCCACCCACCCACCACTCCACCCACCACTCCACCCACCACTCCACCCACCCACCACTCCACCCCCCCACCACTCCACCCACCCCCCCCACCATTCCACCCACCCACCCCACCACTCCACCCACCACCCCACCACTCCACCCACCCCCCCACCACTCCACCCCCCCACCCACCACTCCACCCACCCACCACTCCACCCACCACTCCACCCACCACTCCACCCACCCACCATTCCACACACCCACCACTCCACCCACACACCCACCACTCCACCCACCATTCCACTCACCACTCCACCCACCCACCCCCCCCACCACCCACCCCCCCCACCACCCACCCCCCCCACCACTCCACCCACCCCCCCACCACTCCACCCACCCACCACTCCACCCACCCCCCCACCACTCCACCCACCACTCCACCCACCCCCCCCACCACTCCACCCACCCCCCCCACCACTCCACCCACTCCCCCCACCACTTCGTTGAGATGTCATTCGTGGCTACATCGCAACTGACAAAGAGCCGTGCAGCTTGGTGGGCCTTACCTGGTAAGATAGAAGAAAAAAGTTTCGTGAAGTGGCGATCAACCACGGGCTTTGGGATGAAAGAATAACGCCACACGTGGCGTTTAAGGAAACACATAACAGGTGACGTTTCGGGCAATGGCCCTCCTTGAGAGCACGCGAGACGGGAAAGGCTGAGGAGTCTCACACCGTGTCCCCACCGTGTCCCCGCCGTGTGTAGGAGCTGTACATCGCGGTGGGCATCTCTGGCGCTATCCAGCACTTGGCAGGAATGAAGGACAGTAAGGTAACAACAACAACAAACAACAACAACAAACAACAACTCGCATTCGTTTGTATGTGGCAGGGCGGTGACGCTCGCGACCAACTCGGGTTCCTTTGCGTGAGGAGGAGTTTGGATGTTCTCCGCCTACTGTGCGTGGGTTTTTCTCTGAGCCCTCTGGATTCCTCCCCTGACTTAAACAAAAATAAGTAATATTTTTAAAAAACTTTATTTTTTAAACACGCTTTTATGAATGTACTAATAATGGCACAACTCCACGACTCCAGGAAGTGGCCCCGAAGTTTTGCCATAATGTAAGGAACCGTGAGCAATTACAGCCAACGTCAGATGAGCGTGGACAATTAGAGCCAAGTCGAAACATAACATGTAAAAAACGAATGTTTAAAAAAAAAATTATGATAGAATATGGTATTGTCATCAGTATGACAGAAGTATACCAAGTTTGCATGCAATCGATACCACTTTGGGAAGTGGGTTAAAATTGAGTTACTAGATTTGAGGATACAACAACAACAGTCAGAATGAGTTCAATAAAAGCGTGTAAAAAACAAACCAACCCCAGGCATCGTGCCCGCTATTGGCCAAACAACTTTACCGAAAAAACCAAGAAGATGAATCCCTGCAGTCACGAAAGCTTTAAATCGAAACATCAGCATTACTCGAAAGGAAAATCATGAAATTCCACCCACCAGCAACACGACCCCTCCCGAGTGGGTGACATTCGGCAGGGCGCTACTCAAATAGGAAATTAGCGGCTCCAGCGAGGCCTTTCCTGACAAAACTAAGCGGAGTAACAACAATCATTATTGGCAGATCAGCAGCAGACGACGCTTTCTCACCTGATGACGGACGCTTGTGTTGAGCCCGAAACGTCGTGATTCATTTTTTTTTTCTACCCACGTGGACTTTACCGAAAGAACCAAAGAGTATGGATTGCTGCAGTCACGAAAGCTTTGAATCAAGAATAGTTATTGGGTTTAACGCGTAGACTTTCGCAACCATAATACAGGTCTAACCCAAAAAAAAACCTGTTTGTAAACAATAAAAATAAGATAATAAAAATAGTCTGAGTCCATAATTGGCAGTAAGTAACGACAAAGCAGTTATACGTGACTCACAGAATAGTGCGCAGTTGCGTATACAGTACACGACTTCCCTGAAGGCATTCACCTTCAGCGAGCGCGATGCCGATCACACAACGCGGTTCGAACTCGACCCTCGATCGACGGCTGCGCCATCGCCGCACACGCGTCGAATAAACAGCAAGGGACAACTCCTTACTCACTAACAACTCCTTACTTACTAACAACTCCTCTATCATTTTTCATCGCTGGAGGGCTTGCCCACCTCTACCTGAAAAGCCTGGCTCTGCCATTGGGTGGCGCAGTGGTTGAACGAACTGAGCTATGAACCCGGCGACCCGAGCTCGATTCAGCCTTAAATGAGTCGCTGGGGTGGTGTGCAAACAAAACATCAGCACTGGGGAGACAAAGGTGGCTGGGCCTGGTGTTTGGCCACCTGCCCCCTAAGTGTGCCGTTGCTGCATTCACAGGTGCTAGTCAACAGCACTTTCCCCAGCAGTCCGTTAAAGGCTACACCAGCTCGCCGTCGAATAAAGACGCTCACCGCATCGCGCGCTTTCGGACGCGCTTCTGCGGCCGTCTGGAACGCTCTTCTTCCCAATGCTAGGAAGCCGCTGGTGCTATGCGCTTGTAATGGGTTCCGGAGACACTTGTAGAGGTAACTTCTTTATTACAATCCAACACTCCAACAGTCCTGATACTCTGTTACAGCCTAGGTACACAGCCTAGATACACAGCCTAGGTACACAGCCTAGGTACACAGCCTAGGTACACAGCCTAGATACACGGACTAGGTACACAGCCCAGGTACACAGCCTAGGTACACAGCCTAGCGACACAGCCTAGGTACACAGCCCAGGTACACAGCCTAGGTACACAGCCTAGGTACACAGCCTAGGTACACAGCCTAGGTACACAGCCTAGATACACAGCCTAGGTACACAGCCTAGATACACAGCCTAGGTACACAGCCTAGGTACACAGCTTAGGTACACAGCCTAGGTACACAGCCTAGATACACTACTCTGGCTTCCTCGGAACTCGCCCTCACAAGGACGTAGAGCCGGGAGTTCCAGAGTCCCACCACTGGCCCTCACAGCGTCCCAGGATCCTCAGATGGCTGGTCTTGGGTCTTGGGTCTTGAGCTACGACTGGCCCTGATCGGCCAGGGAGCTGCCCTTTTATGCCTCGTCCCCAACGAGGGGTGGGGTTGTGTCCGCCCCCAGATATCCCACAGAGCACACACAGCCCCCCCCCCCCCCCCGTTGATTGCGCCAAGGGGCTTAAGCGTCTGGGTTGCCTAGGGTCCCAGAGCCCCCAGCAGCCCCTCCCCCTTATGTCACTACACGCTTTTAAATCTGGTTCTAAAACAAATTCATTTTCCAACAATTTTTCGCAGTTTAGTTGCGTTGCCCGTCCCCCGGCACACTTCTATGAGCACGGCTGGCTACGTGCGGTGCGGTAGAAGATCAACGCGCGTACACGGTGGATCTTCGGCTTGGTCTTGTGTCCGTGTGCAGACCATCGTTGCCATCAACAAAGACCCAGAGGCGCCGATTTTCCAGGTGGCCGACTTTGGTATCGTGGCCGACCTCTTCAAGGTGACCTGCTCAGTCAGCCGCCCCTCGCCCCTCATTCACCATGAACTCACGTAGACAAACATGGACACACATAGAGACCCATAGACTCACATAGAGACCCATAGACACACGTAGACATCCATGGACACACATAGAGACCCATAGACTCACGTAGAGACCCATAGACTCACGTAGACATCCATGGACACACATAGAGATCCATAGACTCACACAGAGACCCATAGACTCACACAGAGACCCATAGACTCACGTAGAGATCCATAGATACACACAGAGACCCATAGACTCACACAGAGACCCATAGACTCACACTTAGACCCATAGACTCACACAGAGACCCATAGACTTACACAGAGAGCCATAGACTCACACAGAGACCCATAGACTCACGTAGAGACCCATAGACTCACACAGAGACCCATAGACTCACACTTAGACCCATAGACTCACACAGAGACCCATAGACTCACGTAGACATCCATGGACACACATAGAGACCCATAGACTCACATAGAGATCCATAAACTCGCACACAGATCCATAGATGAAATAAGCAGAGCGGTTTTGTATCCGCAGTGCGGAGGAGTGAACGTACCACGTAGGTTGGATGTCGGGGAACGATTAGCGTGCTGCGCTACGAACCCGGCGACCCAAAATCGATTCCCACTCACGGCCAAAACACCGGCGACGATTACGGGAGCCGGTCCTCAGGCCCCCTCCGCTATAGTTAGACTCCGCATCACATGAGCACCTCGTGGCGATGTTTACACACTCAGGGGAGACAAAGGCGGCCGGGCGTGGTGCTGGCCACCCCTGCCACCTTGTGTGCCACAGTGCCGGCCTTCATCGGTGCTACTCGCTAACAGCACTTGCCCCAATTACACTGGTCAACAACAAAAAAACAGATTTTTTTTTCTGGCCTGGACTTTTGCAGCTGTTTTAGACTAATTTCAGGGTGCTGATTCCAAATCTGATCTCAGATTTGCTCTGTCACGTCTCGTTTTTATGCTATCGGCATACCCCATTGTCATTGATTTTACCCGACATTAACTCTGTCACTTATGATTGCAAGTTGTTGCGAGTCAGTGACTTGCTTTGGTGTTAAAATGTGGTGCTGTATTTTTAGGATAGTGTGTTTATAATATAATTTTATGTAGATGTCCACATTTATTTAATATTTTTCTTCTGCAGTTTTTATTGAAGATGCAATGTTTGATATCTCAAAAAAACCTGATGTGATAGACAAAAACTGATGCCAGATTTGGAATCAGCACCCCAAAATTACCTTAAAACCGTTGGAATACCTTATGCCAGAAAAATTGTGTTGACCAGTTTTATCTGGTTTTTACCCTTTTAAACTGGTACAAAACTGACACCTTTATTCAAGGCATCATGTTTGCAATGACCACAACACAAGTAGTCAAAAAAGCAAACATGATCATTATCAGAGTTGCTTCTTTTTGTTTGCTTTTTTGACTATTTGTGTTGTGGTCATTGCAAACATGATGCCTTGAATAAAGGTGTCAGTTTTGTACCAGTTTAAAAGGGTAAAAACCTATTACTATATTTTGCCACTGGTAAAAGAGATCTCATAGTGTAAATGCTCACCCCGAGCTCTCAATACTCTGATATTGCACTGTGTTTGAGTTGTAAGCCTTCTGGTGTCATCTGGTCCAACACCAATGGGGACTAGGCTCTAAAGAAAGCTGTCTCGGGTGTGGACCAATCAACTTCAAGGACAGTGCATATCATCATCATTATCAGAGTTGTTTCTTTTTGTTTGCTTTTTTGACTACTTGTGTTGTGGTCATTGCAAACATGATGCCTTGAATAAAGGTGTCAGTTTTGTACCAGTTTAAAAGGGTAAAAACCTACTACTACAGTTTTATCTGTTCAAGACTATACGGGGGGCGGGGGCGGGGGGCGGTGGGCAGGATCTTTGTCTTTGTGCAGGTGAATGGTAAACAGCGGCTGCTGTTGTTGTTGTTGTGTTGTTGTTGTTGTTGTTTAGGTTGTGCCGGAGATGACCGCGCTGCTGGAGACAAAGTGAAGAGAGGCAGATTGCCCCGGGGGCGTGGTGCGGCTGGTGCCGCTGGCGCTGCTTGTGCCGTCGCCGGGGTGACCCGCCGAATGTCGCTCGCCACTTTTCCCGCCCGTTCACCCTTGATCATTTTGCTGTTGTTACGTTGGCAGTGTAGTGGCGTCTTCGGGCAGAGATTTCGGGGGTAACAGAGACACTCGCAGACTCGCACAGACTCACACAGACACGCACAGACTCACACAGATTCACACAGACACACACAGACTCACACAGACACACACAGACACCCACAGACTCGCACAGACTCACACAGACACTCACACAGATACCCACAGACTCACACACAGACTCACACAGACACCCACAGACTCACACACAGACTCACACAGACTCACATAGAGACCCACAGACTCGCACAGACACCCACAGACTCACAGAGACACCCACAGACTCGCACAGACACCCACAGACTCACACAGACACCCACAGACTCACACAGACTCACACAGACACCCACAGACACCCACAGACTCACACAGACACCTACAGACTCACACAGACACCCACAGACTCACATAGACACGCACAGACACCCACAGACTCTGACAGACACCCACAGACTCACACAGACACCCACAGACTTGCACAGACACCCACAGACTCACATAGAGACCCACAGACTCGCACAGACACCCACAGACTTGCACAGACACCCACAGACTCACAGAGACACCCACAGACTCGCACAGACACCCACAGACTCGCACAGACACCCACAGATTCACACAGACACCCGCAGACTCACATGGAGACCCAATGAGAAACTGAAAAGTGCTGGCAGTGGCTTCATTGTCAGCACTTTCTCCGTCAGTCGCGTATACGCACGTCCCGTGCAGCTTCCCAGTAGACAGACCGGATGAGTGGTCATCATCGTCATCATCGTCATCATGGTCATCATCATGGTCATCGTCGTCGTCATCGTCGACAACATCATCGTAGCCGCCACCAGCATCGCCGTAATCGTAGAAAAATGAATCCCCGACATCGTGCGCCACAGCCACCGTCACAGGCAATCGCCATCGTCACCTTCGGTCGTCGTCGTCGTCATCTTCGTCGGATTCTTCAGTTGGCGGCCCCGGCGGGTGGTGTTGGCGCGGCTGGCAGGACGCGCCGTGTTTGGCGTGGATTGGTGGTGGGAGCACTTGTGCCTCACTCGGTATGTTTGTACGGTCCCGGCACACGCGCAGACACTCGCAGGTCAATAAAGATTTGATTACCACTGCCAAGTATGCCTTTCCGTGAGTGTTGAGAGCTTGAATGAGACCATTAAGGGGCCGCGGTGGCTAGGAGATGTTAACTACCTCGCCTGGGACACAGGAGGTCGTGGGTTCGATCCCGACCCTGATGAGATGTTAACTACCTCGCCTGGTACACAGGAGGTCGTGGGTTCGATCCCGACCCTGATGAGATGTTAACTACCTCGCCTGGTACACAGGAGGTCGTGGGTTCGATCCCGACCCTGATGAGATGTTAACTACCTCGCCTGGTACACAGGAGGTCGTGGGTTCGATCCCGACCCTGATGAGATGTTAACTACCTCGCCTGGTACACAGGAGGTCGTGGGTTCGATCCCGACCCTGATGCCAGTTGTATATTTTGAGTATGCGTGTCTCTTTCTCATCATCATCATTGATTTTACCCGAAATTAACTCTGTCACTTATGATTGCAAGTTGTTGCGGGTCAGTGACTACTTTAGTGTTAAAATATGGTGCTCTATTTTTAGGATAGTGTGTTTATAATATCATTTTAGATATTCACATTTATTTACTATTTTTCTTCTGCAGTTATTATTGAAAATGCAATATTTGATATCTCAAAACCCTGACGTGATGGACAAAAACTGATGCCAGATTTGGAATCAGCACCCCAAAATTACCTTAAAACCGTTGGAATACCTTATGCCAGAAAAAGTGTGTTGACCAGTGATAATCAGTGCCTCCTACTCTTAGCGTCTCTGAGTCAAATTTCGATTTAAAGCTTTCGTGACTGCAGGGATTCATCTTCTTGGTTCCTTCGGTAAAGTCACGTAGAAGGGAAGTAATGAAATAATACAAATAAAACATAATAAAATAATTCTCACGACGTTTCGGCCACAACGCAATCAGCCGTCCTCAGGCTGCTTGCGTTGTGGCCGAAACGTCGTGAGAATTATTTTATTATGTTTTATTTTTATTTCTTTATTACTTCCCTTCTACGTGACTTTACCGAAGGAACCAAGAAGATGAGTCTCTGAGTCAGTCACTACACATGCGTGTTGAACTTCTTTCGTGCCGTACGTAGCCAACCATGCGAATGCTACTCGCTCGCCTCTCTCAAGTGCTACGAAGAAGGGACCATTGCCCAAAACGTCGCCGATCATCGACTGTACTGTACCTTTTAAAGTCCACGTGCTTTTAAAGGCCAAAAAAACTTCCATTGTTTTGCTGCTGCGAGACATTTACACGTGACAAGCCACTTTGTTGAGCTATCATTTGTGGCCAAGTCGATTTTGAAGAAAGAAGCTAATAGCTCAGTGGGTATTACCTGGTAAGATTTAAAAGAAATAGTAACATTGTATTTGGTTCCGTACACGATATATATATTTTTTTAAGGTTATTCGTGCACAGCAGTGGGTTCGATCCCGACCCTGACGTCTGTATATTTGGAGTTTGCGTGTGTTCTCGCTCCCCGTGGTCGCGTGGCTTTTTTTTCCGGGTCCTCCGGTTTTCCCCTCCAAATTTAGAAACATGCTTTTAGAGTTATTCTTCGGTTTTTTTTCGGTAAAGTCACGTATAAAGATAAAATAATAAATTAAATAATAGCATACGACGATCATCAGGTATAATGAAATAGCGACATAGAATCTAACCAGAAAACTACAGACAGACATATAAGCAGACAGATATCACCAAGATACATAGAGAGAGAGCAACCCAGGTACAGAGAGAGGTGATCGTCTCTGTGGGGGTGGCCTTAAATAGACAGAGGGGGGCGGAGGCAGAGAGAGGGAGGGGGTAGGGAAAACATTTACATGTCAATGAGTACGAAGGGAGGGGAGTAAGGTAAGCAGGCTTAGAGGGAGACAGAACACACTAAATTAAATAACCTAGCAAAGTATCGAAATGTTATGTAAAACGACACAGAGAGTCGGTCAACACACAATTAACGCATGGCCTGGTCGATTACGTATTTCAAAGATTGCTAAGTTAGAATTTAAGTGTGATTGCTTGTGTTGCAATCAAAACGTCGTATGCTATTATTTAATTTATTATTTTATCTTTAGACGTGACTTTACCGAAAAAACCAAAGAATAATTCCTGCTGTATAGCTCAGTGGGTCTTACTTGGTAAAAAATAAAAACTATATTTTTTTAGCTTTTAGAATATTATCGTACGAACATTTGAAATGCTGATCTTCAAAGATTGATGCATCGATCATTCTTCTGTTCCAAAAATAAAGCAAACTGATAGAACAGGTACAGAACCATTAGCATCCTCTCGATTTTGAAGAAAGAAGCGAATAGCTCAGTGGGTATTACCTGGTGAGATTTAAAAGAAATATTAACATTGTATTTGGTTCCGTACACGATATATATATTTCTAAAGTTTTTTGTTTACATTTCGTATACTTTGCACTCCTGACGTGTTTTTTTTTTTGTTGAAACGTTCTGAACCCGTGCGTGCCCCTACTGGACATGTGGTGGGAAAAGAGCTTTGGAGATTATCAGATTCCTCCAGTATAAATAGAGTTTAAAGCAATTTGAAGCATGTTTTATTTTCAAAATGGAAATATGGCTTTGTGGAGGCAGAGCTTTGTGACGTCATACAGACACTCACAGACTCACACAGACTCACACAGACACCCACAGACTCACACAGACACCCACAGACACCCACATACACTCACAGACCCACACAGACACCCACAGACTCACACAGACACACAGACAGACACTCACAGACTCACACAGACACCAACAGACTCACACAGACACCCACAGACACCCACAGACTCACACAGACACCCACAGACACCCACAAAGACTCACACAGACACACAGACTCACACACAGACACCCACACAGACACAGACTCACACACAGACACCCACACAGACACACACACAGACACACACACAGACTCACACATACACACACAGACTCACACACAGACTCACACACAGACACTCACAGACTCACCACACACACCCACAGACTCACACACACCCACAGACTCATCACCACAGACTCACCACACCCACAGACACACACAGTCTCACACAGACACACACACAGACTCACACAGACACCCACAGACACACACAGACTCACACAGACACACACAGTCTCACACAGACACACACACAGACTCACACACAGACGCACACAGACTCACACAGACACACACACAGACACACACAGACTCACACAGACTCACACAGACACACACACAGACACACACACAGACTCACACAGACACACACACAGACACACACAGACTCACACAGACACACACACAGACACACACAGACTCACACAGACACACCCACAGACTCACACAGTCTCCCTGGCGGGGGTCTTGCACCCGCCCTCAACGGCTTCTTCGCGTGCGGGATACATGACGTCACGCCCTACCAAACACGATGACGTCACTGCCGCCCTTGCCGCCGCCGTGACGTCATACGCCTCGTTGGGCCACAGGGATATTTGGCCGACGGACAAAGGGCGCGAACGAAGTCGGCCCTCTGTACTCTGGACGCGTCGTGCGTGAGGGAGATGAGCACGGAGGTGGCTTCGCTGAGACCCGCGTGAGTAGCCTGCGTGCTCGATTTGTTTTGTTTGTGTTGTCGTGAGCATTTGCCGAGGAGGTGAGAATTTGTGTTGAGAAAGCGGAAGGCCGAAGGCTTCAAGCGTGTAGGCCTTAGGCTTCTCTCGTGTAGGCCTTAGGCTTTGAGGTGATTTAGTCGTGGTCCGTTCGCTGCTGGATGGATGTGTAACACACGTACGTTGCGTGTGTGTTTGTGTTGTGTGTGTGTTGTTAACGATCTTATTCGGCTCCGGCGTAGAAGCAAAACGCGAAGAGATTCCGTCGCTCCGTCTCCGCGGAGGTTTCGCGGCCTTGCAACCCTCCCCCCCCCTCTCCTCACCATCAATCGCCTACCTCGGCTCCCCCACCGATGTCGCTATTCTTTTAATTAATCTTTCCCTTCGTGTCGTAATTTGGCGCGTGGTAACGCGACGATTAAATGTGTGTAATGAATGTGTTTGTGTAATTTTAGAGAGACGCGAGGGGAGGTTTTAGTGGAGTTTGTGCGAGAAGTCGTTGGTGGTGACAACGGCTTCGCCATTTTAAGTTTCACTTTTACACCCGGAACTGCTGTTGTTGTTGTATCCACATCTTAAGATTTAAATGTTCTTTCTACATTATTGTTGTCTTATATTCATGAGTGTGTGTGTTTGTGTATGTAGTGTAGTGTTCCGTGTTGTGTGACGATCTCCCCCCCCTACTTCTTAACTGTTATTGAATCCACCACGTCTTGCGATTTAAATGCTCAATAGCTAAATTTTTTTTTCTTTCTACATTTTTATTCTTTCTACATTCTTATTGTCTTATATTCATAAGTGTGTGTATATGTAGTGCAGTGTTCCGTGTTGTGTGATGAGTTCCTCCCTACTTCTCAACTCGTATTGTATCCACCCGACCTTGCAATTTAAATGTTCAATAGCTTCATTATTATTCTTTCTACATTATTATTGTCTTATATTCATGAGTGTGTTTGTGTATGTAGTATTCCGTGTTGTGTGATGAGCTCCCCTTACTTCTCAACTGTTGTATCCACCACGGCTTACGATTTAAATGTTCAATAGCTACATTCTTATTCTTTCTACATTATTATTGTCGTATATTCATAAGTGTGTGTGTGTTTATGTAGTGTAGTGTTCCGTGTTGTGACGATCTCACCCCCGACTTCTCAACTCGTGTTGTATCTATACCTTGCGTTTAAATGTTCAATAGCTTCATTTTTATTATTTCTACATTATTGTTGTCTTATATTCATGAGTGTGTGTGTTTGTGTATGTAGTGTAGTGTTCCGTGTTGTGTGATGAGCTCCCCCCTACTTCTCCACTGTTGTTGTATCCACATCTTACGATTTAAATGTTCAATAGCTACATTATTATTTCTACATTATTATTGTCTTATATTCATGAGTGTGTGTGTGTGTATGTAATGGGACGTTCGGGGGAAGGGCAACAAACTATGAGTCTCTGTGAGTCTATGGGTCTCTGTGTGTGTCTGTGGGTCTCTGTGTGATGTTGTGGGTCTCTGTGTGAGTCTCTGTGAGGCTGTGGGTCGTCTGTGTGAGTCTGTGGGTCTCTGTGTGAGTCTGTGGGTCTCTGTGTAAGTCTGTGGGTCTCTGTGTGAGTCTGTGGGTCTCTGAGGTTGTGGGTCCCTGTGTGAATCTGTGGGTCTCTGTGAGTCTGTGGGTCTCTCTGTGAGGCTGTGGGTCCCTGTGTGAATCTGTGGGTCTCTTTGTGAGTCTGTGGGTCTCTCTGTGAGGCTGTGGGTCCCTGTGTGAATCTGTGGGTCTCTGTGTGAGTCTGTGGGTCTCTGTGAGGCTGTGGGTTTCTCTGTGGGGCTGTGGGTCTCTATGTGAGTCTGTGGGTTTCTGTGTGAGGCTGTGGGTCCCTGTGTGAGGCTGTGGGTCCCTGTGTGAGGCTGTGGGTCCCTGTGTGAGTCTGTGGGTTTCTGTGTGAGTCTGTGGGTCCCTGTGTGAGGCTGTGGGTCCCTGTGTGAGGCTGTGGGTCCCTGTGTGAGGCTGTGGGTCCCTGTGTGAGTCTGTGGGTTTCTATGTGAGGCTGTGGGTCCCTGTGTGAGGCTGTGGGTCCCTGTGTGAGGCTGTGGGTCTCTGTGAGGGTACGTTGAACTTCTTTCGCACCGTACATAACCAACTGCGCTAATCGGACGTGCGGGGGGTGTGTGACAACAAACTAAACACAAAAAGTTGTTCCAAATAAATTCGTTTTCAATCTAGATTATGTAAAAGTGCAGCCCCCCAGTGGCTATGCTGGTCCATCAAGCCACCACGGTCCCACAGAGGCGTGGGGGAGACCCCTATCCAGCAGTGGATTGACAACAGGGCCTGTTAGAGCTACATGTCCTGTACTGTGTAGTTACGTTGTAATGTAACTACACCCACGAACGAATAACATCAGAAGTGAGTGATGGGTACACATTTAGCTTGCTGACAACATTGCCAGGCGCAAGAATAGAATACACGTGTACCATAATCTATGATGACACGTGTCTACCAAGGAAAGCCTTTAAAGCCTCAATTATTTCGAAAGGGTCCTGCAAAGTCTTAAGTGGGGATTCGATATTGATGTGTCATATCCGCATTTATATTTTCCACAGCGACAGTAATGATAGTTTTGAGTTATGTGTAATACGTAGCTGTCAACCCTACGCTTTATCTGTATTTTTGTACAGGAAAATTTAATTTTCAGGTCCATACGGCGCACGGGGTGACCAATAAGGTCTGAATTGGTCTGTGATAAGGTAGGCACTGATAAGGATTGACAGGTATGATAATATAATTTAGTATCGTTGTCACAAAGGTACGGTCCATGCCAGGTAAGATCAGCAGTTCACCAGCATTGATGTATTAGACTGCTGACGAAACACTGAATGTCGTAACTTCTCCATAGTTGCTTGTGTCTAATCAATGCTGCCGAAATTATACACTCCCAGACGGCCACGTGGATGATGTGTTGTAAGATGTTTTTATTTCAAGATACGGATATGGAGCAGTATACTGTTTTCCACAACAACGCTAATGATTATTTCGAGTTGTGTAACTGCCATGGGGTTATTTGTAAGGTTACTTCTCAGCATCAAGATGTTGCTTGGCTAATGCCAGTTACAGTGTGTGCTTATGCTGTAAAATGTTTTATCTGTGGGAGGAAAGCCATGTTAGAACAGTTTGAGACTGTTAAAACGTCACACAGAAAGGTGAATCCAACCCAAGGGGCTTTCTAGTTTTTTGGTCACAAAAGCAAACACATTCCTGCGGAGGGAGCTGGTAGGAGCGTTGGGTTGCTCGGTCAATGGCCAGGGTCAACGGCGGCGTGGTGTATTCCGCAAATATGGCCGACTGTGAGGGCGGGCACAAGCCGGCGTGAGTAGATTAAACGTTGAGTTTTATAAGGGCACCACGGGGTGGCCAGCCCCTCCCGACCCAGCCCCTCCCTCCCCACCCAGCCCCTCCCTGCACGATGGACGGACACAATAATCCCCTGTGGGCTGGTGTAACCAGGTGGTTCCTACCAGTAAAATATATCCTGTATCTGTGGGAAATTTTTGGAAGGATAAAAATGGTGAAAGAATAAGAATAGGCTTCACCCTTTTTGCCGATAAACCAGGAGGTGTTAAGATGTTCAAACACCAAATCGACGCGCGTATTGCAAGGCATCGCACATACTTGTGGCAAAACATCTAAATAAACGTGCTCTGATAATTTAGTGGTATCGCGGTATACGTCGTGAATTCGTTCCAGAAGGTAGGACTTATACCGAAAATTACGTATATCCTTCCATTAAAACTTCAGGAAGCTGAAATTCTGGGGTTTTTCTTTTTTCTGTCTTTTTCTTGACTTGGACCTGGTTGAGGCTCACCAGGTTTGAGTTTTACTAAAAACCTGTCCACTGAAGTTTGTTTTTGCTTTCTAAGAATGTTCCTGAAGTGTGACATTGTCTGGTCATCCCACACAATACTGTTACGGCTTGTTAGAGCCGTAACAGTATTGTGTATGCGGAGACTCATCCCGACCCATACAAGTTCGATCAAGCGCGTCGTATCCCAAGCAAACCCAGCTTAAATATACGCTGCCAAGCGTGGTGGTGCTCATTCAGACGCTGTCTTTCCGACAGACCTGTTCTTCACCTGAGGACGGCTGCTTGCGTTGTGGCCGAAACGTCGTGAGAATTGTATTTTATTATGTTTTATTTTTATTATTTTATTATTTCCCTTCTACGTGACTTTACCGAAAGAACCAAGAAGACAGTAACTAATTGGCACGTCTTGTTTACGCGACAAACCATTACGGAAAAAAAATCTGACCCGCGTCTACTGGACATCTGAGAAAAAGGGCTTTATATGAATAAATACTCTGATTATGAATTGTCTGTGGCAGGCAGCGACGAGTTTAATGACACATTTATATTTCCGCCATCTAACCCAAAAAAACCCTTGGTTATGGACTTTATAGTAGTGTAATATGTTTTGACGGTGGCTCTCCGCGTTGTGCGTGGTGGTGGGATGCAGGCGGCGGAGCAAGTGGGACGAGGCGGGTACCAGCGATGATCGGGTCCCGTGTGCGCTGGAGGCCGCCGCCGCCGCTGCGGCGCGCATCAACAACATGCTGGTGGCCCGGGGGAAGCTCAAGGCGCCCGCCAACGTGAACGTGAAGACCGGCAACGACACGGTGCGGGCTCCAGCCACAACGTCTTTGTCGTCATCATCGTCACCGTCATTCTTAGCCCACGATCAATCAGGCCACTTCAACACGTAGGCTTTTGTGACCACTATCCGTAATACAGGTTTCTTTTGGGTTAGGTCGCGTGCTAGTCTTCAGGAACACAACTTCCACATTATAGGAGAACACAATGTCTCGCACCAGCGTGTAGCAGAGGTCGCAAACGGGTTTTGATTCCTTACCCGTACCCAGCCGCACCAGGGTCGCAAACGGGTACTCTACCCGTACCCGGCCGGGTACGGGTAGGCTACGGGTATCGGGTACCTGATTGCGACCTCTGGGATGAAGCCATGTTGCAGGCGTGGGTGGGTTGATTCTAGGAACTTGAATTGTGAGAAGAGACAAGACGTTGGGAAATGAGTTACAAACGGTGACTCACCAGTGACTCACGGCCTACCCGTACCCGGCCGCACCAGGGTCGCAAACGGGTACCCGTACCCGGTCGGGTACGGTTAGCCGGGTATCGGGTAGGGTATCGGGTACCCGGTTGCGACCTCTGGCGTGTAGTGATGGCCACTGACGGCGTGTGTGCGCTTGTGCGCATGGGGAGCGGTTAGAGCGCTGCGCTACGAACCCGGCGACCCTGGTTCGATTCCCGCTCACGGCCAACGCCATTGACGAATATCTGAACCGCTCCTGGGCCTTCCCTAGGTCGACTCAGCCTCAAATGAGTACCTGGTGCGGTGTGTAAACATCCCCACTAAAGACAACAAGGGCGGTCGGGCGTGGTGCTGGCCACCAACCCCCTCGTACCGTTCCAGCCTTCATGTGTGCTCCCGAACGACACTTGCCCCAACAGTCTGTTAAAGGCTATACGGGGGATCTTTGTCTTTGTGTGAGCAGCAGGTTATTCCTGGAATGACGAAGTCGTCCCATGAGAAGGTGCAGGTCAACCTGGACATCAACGACATCCCTGCCGCAAGTCGCAACAAGATCACCCTCGTGCAAGTGCAGGATGAGGTACTAACGACGACAATGATGTAAAGTCACGTAGAAGGGAAATAATAAAATAAAAATACAACATAATAAAATGGTTACATGCTTATTTTTGACTTTAACATCCTGCTAATTCTCTCACATTAACACGGCTTATTCAATGCTACATTCTTCTGTTGATATGTAAACTCCTTTGTCAAGGCGATCTTCTCCTCCCACCCAGCGTAAAATACGCTGCCAAGCTTAGCAGTGTTCATTGGAGCGCTGTCTTTCACACAACTCTGTCTTCACCTGAGGAACGGCTGCTTGTGTTGTGGCCAAAACGTCGTGAGAATTTAATAAAAAATTGTATTATTTTATTATTTCCCTTCTACGTGACTTTACCGAAAGAACCAAGAAAAGATGAATCCCTGCAGTCACGAAAGCTTTAAATCGAAACTTGTCTCTTGTATTTGCAGATAAGTAAGCAGACGGGCACAGTGGTGTCAACCAGAGGGCGCTATATGACTCTGGAGGAAAAGGCAGTGGCTTCTCCCGAGTAAGTTGGCTACTTAATAATGAACTTGCTCATAGGGCTGCACGGGAGCTTCGTGGTAACGCTTGTTCCTTGCAGCAAGAAGGGCCCAGGTTCGATTACCGAATCTGGCGGCTTTCTGTGTGGCGGTTGTAAGTTCTCTTCCCGTGTTCGACAGAGCGTCGGTGTGAGCTTGTGTGGATTGTGAGTGCGGTGTGTAGTAAATATCGTCGCTACTGGGGAGACAAAGGCGGCTGATCGTGGTGCTGGCCGCCCCCACCCCTCTTCGTAGGTGCTCGCTTAACGGCACTTGCCCCTACAGTTTGTGAAGGCTATACGGGGGGGGGGATCTTTGCCTTGGTTACCTGCTATGTCACCTGTTGTGTTACCCATGAGTCTTCAATAATGAAGCAGAGGTTGCAATCGGGTACCCGATACCCGTACCCTACCCGATACCCGGCTACCCGTACCTGGCTGGGTACGGGTACCCGTTTGCGACCCTGGTGCGGCCGGGTACGGGTAGGCCCGTGAGTCACTGGTGAGTAACCGTTTGTCACTCATTTCCCAACGTCTTGTTTCTTCACACAATTCAAGTTCCTAGAATCAACCCACCCGCGCCTGCAACATAGCTTCATCCCAGAGGTCGCAATCGGGTACCCAATACTTGTACCCTACCCGATACCCGGCCGGGTACGGGTAGCCGGGTATCGGGTAGGGTACGGGTACCCGTTTGCGACCCTGGTGCGGCCGGGTACGGGTAAGGAATCAAAACCCGTTTGCGACCTCTGTAATGAAGGCTTTGTTGACCGCCACATGAGCAGCGTCCTTCACATTGAATCATCAATAAAAATCGATCATTGTTCACGCTATACCTTGCGCGTGTAAGAATTCATCGCGTGTGAATTTTACAGACGATGTTCTAATGCTAAACATGCGCTAATGAAGAACAATGCCGTACAAACGAGGTTGATGCCCCTTTCCTGAGGGCCGTGGTTCTTTTATCGGTGGTGCAGGATACACGCGGCATCTGTTAGGGGGATGGCTTTGCTCATGCGGAGTCATGGAGCAGTGCTGCTTTTTCTTGGTTCTTTCGGTAAAGTCGCGTAGAAGGGAAGTAATAAAATAATAAAAATAAAACATAATAAAAAAATTCTCACGACGTTTCGACCACAACGCAAGCAGCCGTCCTCAGGTGAAGACCAGGTCTGTCGGGGAGACATTCAGACGCTGTCTCCCCGACAGACCTGTTCTTCACCTGAGGACGGCTGCTTGCGTTGTGGCCGAAACGTCGTGAGAATTATTTTATTATGTTTTATTTTTATTATTTTATTATTTTTCTTCTACCTGACTTTACCGAAAGAACCAAGAAGATGAATCCCTGCAGTCACGAAAGAAGCTTTAAATCGAAATTCAGTGCTGCTTTGTGCGTGTGCACCACGAGCAGTTCTGAACACGCCTGTTGTATATTCCTTGCACTTGTTTCACACCCCGTACTTAGCCGACCGTGCTAATCGGAGGTGCGGGGGGGGGGGGGGCAAGGACAGCAAACTAAACGCACAAAGCATCCGTTGCATGAAATGGGCTGAACACGTGCGCTCGGCAATACACCTGCTGCTGTTTGGGCTCTCTCTCTCTCTAGCCTTGACCTAGGCCTCGGCAAGGAAAGGTAATTGTACCCTTTTTACCGGGTAAAGGTGTCGACATGCCAAGGGGTAAGGGTAAAGGGTAGGGTAAAAGAGGTAGGCTCGTTGCTTTTTACCTTACCTGCTAAAGGGTAAAAGGTAGGGTAGAGTGATTGTATTGTGGTAAGGTAAGGGTATGCTCGTTGTTTTTACACTTTTACCTTACCTTGATCATCTGCTCGGACATAAGTGTGACCATGAAGCCTGTTTAATTGGTTCAACTTGAGGTTTGTGTTTTAATTTTGTGCAAATCGTTCATTTGTTGACAGTGACCAGCCACTTCACCTTCATATCAAGGGGAGCGGCGCGGATAGTGTGAGCTGTGAGTACCAGAATGCATGTCAACTTCTTTCGCACTGCATGTAGCCAACCGTGCTATTGGGATGTAGCCCCGTCTGCACTGTTTCACCCCCACACTTGCTCCCCATTTGTAATGCTGCCCCGTCGTTTCTTTCCCCAAGCTTTTGAAATAATAATAACCTTGGTCATTTCAAATAACGTGTTAACCCTTAGAAGGGAAATAATAAAATAAAATAAATTCTCACGACGTTTCGACTGCAACACGAGCAATCGTCATCAGGTGTGAAATCCACAGCAAGAAAATTTTCACACCTGATGATGATTGCTTGTGTTGCAGTCGAAACTTCGTGAGATTTTTTATTGTTTTATACATATTTTTTTATTATTTCCCTTCTACGTGACTTTTTCCGAAAGAACCAAGAATATGAATCCCTGCAGTCACGAAAGCTTTAAATCAGTATTAACCCTTATTACCCCACCACTTTGATAGCGCTTAATCTCGTACGTAGTTTTTCACGACCGACGTGACGGTTCACAATTTATTTCTTTAGTTGTGAGGTCGTCTCGGCGTAGTCGTGTCAGAAACGTGAAGCCCTCCACCACCCGACCAAAAAAAAAATGTATCGGCGCAAGTTAATTCGTTTTGTCTTCGACGGCGCGGTTCGATGCTGGCCGCTTGACATTTTTTTTGGGCCCGCGCTCGGCAATCGTGTTTTTAAAAATGAAAAAAAGTAAGAGACGCATTGGGGAGCAGCATTTTTTTATTTTTACCAGGTAAGGCCGTACAGCTACCGAATAAACCTGGCGATCACAAATGGTGACTCGACGAAGTGGCTTATCGTCGTGTGGACATATATAGCAGGCACATTACTCTAAACCCTTGGTGATGTTGATTTAAAATGTGGAGGGATAAAACGGAAGGGCCCGGAGAAAAATCCACATGACCACGGAGAGAGAGAGACAGACACGCAAACTCCAAATATACAGCAGCAGGCGTCAGGGTCGGGATCGAACACACGACCTCCTGTATACCAGGCGAGGTAGTTAACATCTCCGAGCCACAGTGATGATGATGAGAGAGAGACACGCAAACTCCAAATATACAGCAGCAGGCATCCGGGTCGGGATCGAACACACGACCTCCTGTAGACCAGGCGAGGTAGTTAACATCTCCGAGCCACAGTGATGATGATGAGAGAGAGACACGCAAACTCCAAATATACAGCAGCAGGCGTCCGGGTCGGGATCGAACACACGACCTGTAGACCAGGCGAGGTAGTTAACATCTCCTAGCCACCGTGATGATGATAATGATGGAGAGAGAGACACGCAAACTCCAAATACACAGCAGGCGTCAGGGTCGGGATCGAACACACGACCCTCCTGCATTACCAAGTGTTGGCTTTTCGTTTATTGATGGCTATTGCGCTTGTGACAAACTTTTTATCGGCGGGAAATCGGCCTATGGGGGGGGGGGGGGGTGAGGAGGGTCTAGAAGGTGGAGCGCCGTGAGGTTTTGGCGCTCCTGCCGATACTGCCCTCCCAGATCAAACAACGGCGGTGACACGAGATGCCTCACACCCTGAGTCCGTGGGTTTGGTGCACTGACACTCACCTACAGCGCACTGACACTCACCTACAGCGCTGCGCAATGCCGGTGCGTACCGGCATCGCGGCCTCCGCGTTTGCTCAATTTGAAAATGGGCCTGCAAAATTTACTCCTGGGATTACACGCGGATTCATCTCGCCCCCCTCCCCTACCGAAACCGCTGCGGACTGTGACTGTGACCTTGAGGCCGTGACCTTGAGGCCGTGACCTTGAGGCCGTGACCTTGAGGCCGTGACCTTGAGGCCGTGACCGAGAGCTCGTGACCGTGAGGCGGTGGCCGTGAGGTCATGTGACTGAGGCCGTGACCATGAGACATCGCGCCCCTTTCCTTGGTGACGATCGCCCTGCGCTCAACGACGAGTGGCGCGAATACCGAGTGTGCTACATCAGTGTTCTGCATTTGCGAGGTCCGGGGCCACCACTAACGGGCCCCTGGGGGCCTTTAGTGAGGCCCATGACGTGACCCCCCCCCCCCCCCCCCGACAGTACACAAATGTGAAAACACCACTTGTGTAGGCGGTGTGGCGGCCCTCGCACTGATGATGTCTTTTCGTCGAAAGTGGGGCCCCCCTCTGAAAACTAACACTAACTACTACATTATGAATAATAGTTTAGTATACTTTTAAATGTTTTTTTGCTTTGGTTTTCTACTGGGCAATACTTTGCTCAAAACGGTCCAGTTTTTTTCTCAATGCATTCAAACTCTTGGTCTTAGTTGGAAAGTGTTACAATAGAGTAGCAGCAGCATACCAATGCGTGTTTACACTAACGTATTCAATTGGTTTACATTATACCGCTCTGACCGATTATACATTTACATATGCACAAATGACGAGACAAAAAATCCTCGGTATAGCCTTGTTGGCAACATGTGTGAAAGCCGACATGGCACACGAGGGGGGCCGGGTGATCAACACCACACCCGGTCGGCATCGTCTCCCCCGTGGCAATATTTACACACCGCACCAAGCGCTCGTTTGAGGGCAGGCCCAGGAGCGGTTTAGATCATCGTAAGCCGTGTTGACCATGAGCTGGAGTCGAACTCTCGTCGCCGAGTTCGTTAGCGCAGTGCGAGCGCTCTCCTTCGAGCAACTCCCGACGCCCATCCGATGGATCGTGAGAGGAGTCCGCACAGAGTTGCGACGTTTCACCGGTCGCTCTCCGAACGCCGTACACTGTCTCGCACCGGCGCGTGGTGGTGGTGGTGGCGGCGGCCACTGACGGCGTGTGTGTGCGCATGTGTGTGCGTGTGTACGAGTGTGTGTGCCCATGGGGTAGTGCGGCGGTTAGCACAGATTAAAATTCCTCGCCGAGCTGAACTCGCCGGCATTCAGATCGGATCTCATCTCGTCTTGTTTTTGTTTTCCTTGCCGTCCCGCAGTGGCCGTGCGGATGATCAACGATAAGATCGACGCGTGGGTGCGCGGGAACGGCCTGTACGAGCGCGTGTCCCTGTCCGACCCCGGCGTCGCCGGCATCGGCACGACCTCCCAACCGCCGCCCCCCCCGTGCGGCTTCGCGGCCGAAGCTGTGCCCACGTACCCGCCGGCCGCGGCGATGACGGCGGGGGCGACGTCCGGGATGCTGTACGCGCCGGCGCCGGCGCCGCTGCCGACCGTCGGCTTTGCGTCGCCCGCCGCGGTCAAGACTCCGGCGCCTGCATACCATCCGGCGCCCGCCTACCACCAGCCGCCGATGCCGGTGGTGCCGCAGGCGGCGCCGGTTGCGTACTCCCACCCGACGGGGAATGCGTTCGCCCCGCCGGCGAGTTACTCGGCACCGCCGTCCGGCTTCCGCATGTCCGCACCGCTCGCTCAGCTGCAGCCCGGGGTACGTGAGCCAGATGTGAACTGCCTCGCCTGGTTTTCAGGAGGTCGTGGGTTCGATCACGACCCTAGCGCCTGCTGTGTATTTGGAGTTTGCATGTGCCCTATCCCAGTGGTTGCATGAACAACAAACTAAATACGAAAAGCAATTCTCAAAAAATTAGTTTATCAGTGTTGGTGATATTTAAAACGCGTGACTGGTCGGCTGTGAGGAGCGCAACGTCTCTACGCCGCGTCAACGAAGGGGGAGCAGCAGAACTACACAAACTCTCCTGAGGACCTCTCGTCCTGACCAGCCGATCTCAACGTTGGGCATTTAGTTCCTGAACATATTGCCATCGTATGTGTAGTGACGACTTGTCACACTTCTCTTGAGATGGAACTTGATTGAAGACCCGTTCACTTGATAATCAGGTGGAGAGACGCCCATTGCAACAGCCCCAAGTCTCCCGTACATCTCCCTTGTACACCGACACGAGGTCACGCCCCCCTTCTCGATCATTCTCGCTGACTCTGGACGCTCGCTCCACCCACAGACTCCACCGCCCTCTTCCGTCACCTGACCACGCTCCCTTCTCGAACATTCCCGTAGTCACCAGTCCCTACGCACTCACAACTGATACCCCCGTCATTACCTCCCGTGGCCACTACTAGTCTCCCTCGCACCGCATGCAGGCTCTATTGTCACTACATATGTAAGAATAAATAGAATATCATTCTCATCATCGTTGTCGTCCTCATCATCTTCTGGCCACGGTCTCCCGTTGCCAGGTCTCGCGGAGGTCCGTCGTGACATTATGCCAGTCGCGTAGGGTCGGCTTTGTGCGATGGGGGGGGGCGGGAACACGCGAACTGCTGTAACGGTCTCGTGAATCGTTACACAAAAGGTTAATGTAAATAAAAGATTGCGAGGTCCGCGATAGTGACTTGCCACGGGTACCATCGTGTGCCCGCTCTCCCGCACGCACTCGGTCGTCACCGGCTCCGCAACGCTCCCTTGCAGATGCACTATGTGCAGGAGAAGGTGTTTGTGGGGCTGGAGCACGCCGATCCCGCCTTTGGCCTCAAGGCCTCCTTGGAGGGCCCCGGCGGCTCCTACCTGCAGCACATCGTGCGCGAGACCGGCGCCAAGGTTCACCTGCGGGGCCGCAGCTCGGGCTACATGGAGCACGCGTCCGGCCGCGAGGCCTTCGAGCCGCTCTACATTTACATCAGGTGCGTGGGTGGGTGCGTGGGTGGGTGGGTGCGTGCGTGGGTGGGTGGGTGCGTGGGTGGGTGGGTGGGTGCGTGGGTGGGTGGGTGCGTGGGTGGGTGGGTGCGTGGGTGGGTGGGTGGGTGCGTGGTGCGTGGGTGGGTGCGTGGGTGCGTGGGTGGGTGCGTGGGTGGGTGGGTGGGTGGGTGGGTGCGTGGGTGGGTGGGTGGGTGGGTGGGTGGGTGGGTGGGTGGGTGGGTGCGTGGGTCTATCTGAGAGGTGCTCGCTACAGCACTTGCCCCAACAGTCTGTGAAGGCTATATGGGGGATCTGTTTCTTTCTTTGTTTCCCTACGTGTATCTCTTTTGTGTCGAGTAATTAGCTGTTTGTAGATATGTGGGCATGCCGTTGATACGTTATATCATGTTTCATTTGCTTTCAGATGTAACGATATGCGAAACACGCAAAAAAATAATGATGATGATGAAGGGGTCTTACTCGTTTTGTCCAGCCACTGGCCGTATCTAAACCTGCCTTGAAAAATCTGTTATTCCCAGCCACCCCAGACCAGAGAAGCTGGCTTTGGCGAGAAAACTCTGCGAGGATTTACTCCAGACGGTGAGTGGTCGTTCAAGGGGTGCGACATGCACAGCGCTCGGTGTCGATCGCCGGGCTCCGCCTGAATAAGCCGCGATGAAATAACCCAGCGCAATTTGAATCAAAGGTGTAGTCACCTTATTTTTAATTATCATTTGCCATCGGAGAATAGATTTTCCACAACTGCGCGTGCAGTGATTTAATCGCAGCGTGTTCCCGATTGGAATCATCTTTGATTCTACGGATGACATCACGTAGCTTGATACTGGTAGGAACCTCCTGGTTCCACCAGCCCACAGGGGATTATTGTGTCCGTCCGTCGTGCACCCAACAATGTGAGGGGTGGGGCTGGGTGGAGAGGGGAGGGTGGGGCTGGTTGGGGAGGGGGTGGGGAGGGTGGGGAGGAGGGGCTGGTCACCCCGTGATGCCCTTATAAAACGCAACGTTTAACCTACTCACGCCGGCTTGTGCCCGCCCTCACAGTCGGGCATATTTGCGGAATACACCACGCCGCCGTTGACCCTGGCCATTGACCGAGCAACCCAACGTTCCTACCAGCTCCCTCCGCAGGAATGTGTTAATTATCATTTGCCATCGGAGTGATTGCAGTGATTTAATCGCAGCGTGTTCCCGATTGGAATCATCTTTGATTCTACGGATGACATCACGTAGCTTGCTTTAACTTGAAAGCCACTCTCGTGCTGGTGCAACTGTTCGGGGAAGGAGTCTTTTCTTTCCCTGTGCAGGTCATGGGGTTATATTCCACACAGCAAATGTAGTTGGTCTCCTTATTGTTATAAATGGAAATGCCATACGTGGGTTTCCTCTCACTCATGCCATGAATATCGTGGTTATTTTGCATAGCTTAGAGTTACATTGTACATAGTTCTAGTTTGTTTATTACTTAGTCATCACGTTTATTTTTTTAAAAATCTGTTTTTGGTCGATGCACCCCCCCTTCTGCAAACCCTCCCTTCCCATGTGACCATTGATAAAAAAACCCTCCATCGCCTAGGGTGTTTAACCTGAAATAAACTGACTGACCGTACATTATCACGCCGGCCAGTGCAGATTTTTTTTTGCCCCTCGGGACTGCTTCAGCTATCGCAAAGTTAATCGTAACGCCGGTAATTGTCACGATTTGTGGTTACGTTTGGGTACGGAGCCGCAGTCCCGCTTGTCGCTTAGCTAATCGGAACAACTGTCCAATTCCCTTTGGGCTCGGGGAACATTATGCAGAGAGCGTTTTAGCTACAGCTCACGTTTACAAAGATAGCGGATATTTTTTTTACCGTTGTCATTTTAGTGAGCCGGGCCACGCGTGCAAATGAGACCACATTTCCTTGCAGAAGACGTTGACTCGACTTCTTGCTGTGCATCTCACACCTGATGATGATTGCTTGTGTTGCAGTCGAAACGTCGTGAGAATTTTATCCGTTTATTATTTTATTATTTCCCTTCTAACGTGACTTGATTTCACACCTGATGATGATTGCTTGTGTTGCAGTCGAAACGTCGTGAGAATTTGTGTTGTTTTATATTTATATTTTATTGTTTCCCTTCTACGTGACTTTACCGAAAGAACCAAGAATATGAATCCCTGCAGTCACGAAAGCTTTAAATCGAAATTCTTTCTGAAGGGTTGCTCTGTTTTTTGTCTGTCTCTGCAGGTTCATGACAAGTACAGTGCTTACCAGAACTCGATGAGCGGTCAGGCAGGTAAGCAGTTCTGTTTGACACGTGATCGCCTTTCGTAACCAATATTCGTAATAAAGGTTTTTGTTTGGGTAGATCGCGTAAATATCAATGTGTCGTTAAACCCGCCAGCACCCCACATAGCCAATTACTTAAACAAAACGTGCTAATTAGTTACTACTTTGGTGAAGTGCTGTCGGGCGGTGGCAGGTTTAACGACACGTGTGTGTGTGTGTGTATATGCGATATAACGCAAAAAAAACCAAGATTACGGGTTCTATCGTTGCTACGGCGGTGTTGGTGAAGGTGGCGCTGCTGGCGATGCTGCACGTGGCCGGTGATCCAGCGGAGGCAGCCAGGGCTGCTCAGTCATATACACAGATTCGTGAAAAACTTGCAAACCCACTGGGCTTTGCCAGGAGATGGTGGCAGTACAGCAAGTGGGTTCAATTCCCCCCAGGGATTGAGTGTCACACCTTCCCCACCTTCCTACATGAGTGGGTTTTCTTTAAGTTGTCCGGTTTTCTCCCACGTGCGTGAACACACGCATGACTGGAGTTGAACAAATATACTCAATATAGGATCACAGAGCTTAGGTAATGGGGTGGGGGGGGGGGCGCCAGTTCTGGCTGCCCTTAACGATCGTCCGCGGTTTCTCGCGCCTCTGAAAACTGCGCGCGGCAGCTGCGGTGGTGTGACACGCGAGTGCGGTTTTCTTTTGTACTTCACCGTGAGTAGCCGAGCGCGAGCGGGGGAGGGTCTAGAAGGTGGAGCGCCGTGAGGTTTTGGCGCTCGTGCCGATACTGCCCTCCCAGATCAAACGGCGGTGATCCGAGCTGTTCCGCCCTGAACCCGTGGGCGTGGACGTACTACACTCACCTACAACGCCACCACCGCCGCCACCGGATCGTCACTTGCTTTATCGGGTTTTGGGCGCGTCACGATGCGACCGGATTTTGTTCCGTTTTGCCGTAGCCACACACACAGGAGAGAGGTCAGAGAGAGATGGAGTAGAAACTCCACTTGTTCGCAAAATGTGGCCAAATAAGGCTCACGATTGAAAACAAAAATTCTGATGACCAATTTTGAAATCGACCTTTGAACAGTTGCGCTGTCGGTAGAACGTTGCGTATCAAGTCAAACGTCAATAATAAAACATGGAGTGATTTATATTACTGCCGTAGTGCCTTCCAGGTTACAGACGACGGTGCAGTGTGGCCCGTTTTTAAGAGGACATGTCTCTCGTAGCAGCTGCAGGTGTGCTCGTATTGTAAACAGAGGTCGCAACCGGGTACCCGATACCCGGCTACCCGTACCCAGCCGGGTACGGGTAGCCGTTTGCGACCCTGGTGCGGCCGGGTACAGGTACGCCGTGAGTCACTGGTGCGTAACCGTTTGTCACTCATTTCGGGTAGGGTGCGGGCAGGGAACGGGTACCCGTACCCGGCTGGGTACGGGTACCCATTTGCGACCCTGGTGCGGCCGGGTACGGGTAAGGAATCAAAACCCGTTTGCGACCTCTGATTGTAAATTATCTTTGCCAGAGTTTTAGTGCCTGCCTATTACAGATGTACACACAGAACTGACTCAACATTCTGCATGTTTACCCAGGAAAGCCTCGCTGTGTCCCAAGATTCTGCAGGTTTATCCAAGTAGGCAGGGGGGAACGGTGTTGCCGGTATGTGTCATCCCAATTGAGTGACTTGTAGATCATTTTTCAGCTTTGCAATGTTATGGGCAACACCCGTTAAATATATTCACGGGAGGAAATCAGATAGCTTGGCGGGAGTGACTCATGCAGCCAGCTATGGCTGCAGGGTTTGGTGGTACATGTTGTTTATGTCGTTTATTGTAAAAATTCGGTCACAGTTTCTATGATCACTGTTACATTGCTTTTATGGCTTTATTTTGCCGATTTCGAAAAGTTTTTTGGTTTGGCCATGTTTGTTTGTTGTAGTACGTAGCTAGACTGATGGCCTTAATCTAAGTTGTCTTGTGGTTGTTGTTTAACTTGCATCCCACTGGGATTTTTGCACACAGCGTTGGTGTACGGTGCTTTTTCTGCAATATTTTGCTGTCTTTTCTTGGATTTTCTGTTTGCACATAGTCACTTTAAGATGTTTTCTTGTTCATTTTCTTGTTTTTTGTTTGTTGTGGTTGCACTCAATTCAAGAGCCGAATGGCTCGCAGGCCTATACCAAATAAATGAAACTGATGCAGAACACAGGGATGACGTACCGACTCGTCACACTATCACACTCACTGTGCAGAACATAAAAACTCCACATACTCGCGCACACACTCTGTAGAACAGGAGCAGGGTGTACAAACTCCACACACTATCACTCACAATCGGCAGAACAGGGGCAGTAATATACAAAATTCTCAAGACAGATCCCCCGTATGGCCTTAACAGACTCTTGAGGCAAGTGCTGTTAGCGAGCACCTATGAAGGCCAGCACGGCACACGAAGGGGTGGGTGGCCAGCACCAGGTACTCATTTGATGCCGAGTCGACCTAGGGGAGGCCCAGAACCACAGCAGGCAAATACTATGAATGCAGGTTTCTAAATGTGGAGGGAAAAGCCCACAACTAGTTCCGATAATCGTCACTTGTCTTGGTATTGAGCGGGTTCGTAGCACAGCACGCTAACTGCTACACTACCGCACTCCACACACACACTCTGCAGAACAGGGGCAGAATGTACAAACTGCACATTCACACACTCTGCAGAACAGGGGCAGCAACATAGAATCTCCACACAAGAATAAGATTCTAGGCCTTTCTTGGTTGCGGGTCGCAAGCATTATCGCTGCGCTGCCATCCAACGCAGCCTCTGTCGGAAGTGTTACAAAAATACAATGTGACAGATGTCGTCTGCTGCCTTTCACCTCTCCCCGTGTGTCTCCGCTATCGCGCAGGCTACTCGCAGATGAACAACTACGGCAGGATGTCCATGTACCGCCCTGCCATGCAAGCACAGCCGGTTGGAACGGCGTGGCTGGGCCCTGACGGCATGCCGACGCCGTCACCGCAGCCGCCTTCGACGAATGCGCAAGGACTGGCGTACGCACAGTACCCCGCTCCAGCCTCCATGTACCAGCCGCCCGTACAGGTAACTAGCGGTCTCGCTTGTTTCATCGGCAGCAGAAGCCGTGAACGATCAACCTGCTGGATTCTAGATTTGAAGCTTTCGTGACTGCAAGGATTCATATTGTTAGGTTTTTTCGGTGAAGTCACGTAGGTAAAAAATTTAATTTTAATAAAAGTAAAATAAAAATCACGAGGTTTCGGAGGCAACACAAGCCTCCGTCTTCAGGTGGAACCGTTACAGCACGACTGCTGTATCAAGTGAGAGAAATGCCAAGAAAACGGTCCTTGTATATATACTTGTTGAGGGTGGGAGGAGCCAAGGTGGGCCCTGGATATTATTTTTGTGAGGTTCGGTGCGGCTGAAGCACGCTGTTAGGAATGAGCCTTTGTTGTGTAAACTAGGTGCGGATGATGTAAAGGTGCGTGTAAAAGGGACTGAGCCTTTTTGTTATGTAGAGGTGGTGCGGCTGAAATCGCTGCCAGGAAATGAGTCTTTGTTGTGTAGAATGGATGTTATCTACCTCGCCTGGTGGTACAGGAGGTGGTAGGTTCGATCCCGACCCCTGACGCCTGCTGCTGTATATTTGGAGTTTGGGTGTTTTCTCCGTGGTCGCGTGGGTTTTTCTCCGGGTCCTCCGGTTTTGCTCTCCACGTTTAGAAACACGCGTTTTAGAGTATTCGGCTGCTATAAATTTCCACGTGATGAGCCACTCCGATTCGCTATCATTGGTGGCTGTATAGCTCGGTGGGTCTTGGCTGGTAAAATAAAAAAAAACTATTTTTTTTATAAATAGGGTTTATATTCTCTGGTTCTTTCGGTAAAGTCACGCACGTAGGTGAAAAAATAAATAAACTAAATCACGACGTTTCGGAGGCAACGCAAGCTTCCGTCATCAGGTGGGGACAACCACAGCAAAAAATGTTTTTACTGTAGTGTGCTCACTACAGTAAAAAATTATTTGCTGCAGCAAATCTGGCTGTGACGGTCGCACCTGATGACGGAGACTTGTGTTGCCTCTGAAACGTCGTGATTTTTATTTTTATTAATTTTTATTTCATTTTTGTTACCTACGTGACTAAGAGTATATGTTCTCCAATCCCTGTGTTCCAGCAGCAGCAGCCACAGCAGCAGCAGGCGCAGCAGACGCAGCAGCAGCCAGCTGCGACGGTGGCAGCTAGCAAGCGGCGCTTTGTGGAAGAGCTTGACAAGGCCGACCCGTCCAGGCTGCTTGGATACCAGGTAACTAGCCACATCGCGCCACCCGCTCAGTTCTCCACAGCAAGGGCACAGGACTGTCGTCATCATCGTTATTATTATTATTTTGTTACTATTAGTACGACTATGACGCCTGGTTTATCCGGGAAAGCCTCCCTGATTGTCAGTGACGCTTTGTTCAGCAGTGTCCTGCCAAGTTTTTGGTCATTAGCGGTGCGATTCGATTTTTTTTTTCTTTCAAAATTGGACCGTCACGCCGGCACGCAAATGTTGCCGCTCTCGTGAATGACGTCACGGGGTCTTTAACGTTCTCTGAAGCGAAAGGCACATTATTGTTAGTACGCCAGCGCTGCAGTATTAGCCAGGGCAGCCGCTTCATTTGAACCTCGGTCGTTCTCCCGCTTGGTCGTGTCGCTGCCAAAATAGGCGGGTGGGAGGGGGGGAGGGAAGGTAAGAAGACCGTCTCACCTCTGTTCCCATGTGCCGCTTGACGGGAGGTGATGGGCGGTGGATGTGGCTTATAGGGGTGTTCCCTGCCTTTGCAAGGCAGGATGTGTGGGGGAGTGACCTTTTTTTGTTACTTTTTATTTGACTAATCGATGAATTGCCCCGGCTCTTCTCTCCTGCATGGATCGGAAACCCCGCTGTGTGAGTGCATCCTGCGATGTGGGACACGCGGTGTTGCTGCAAAGTGTGTGGCTCTTGAGTGCGTGTTGCCTGTGCTTGTGCGAATGTGTGGGGGGGGAGCGGTGGCCCAGCGGTTGATGCACTGAGCTACGAAGCCGGCGAGCCGAGTTTGATTCCTGCTCAAGTTCAACACCAGTGATGATTATCTGAACCGGTCCTGGGCCTCCCCAAGGTCCGATTAGCATGGGTGGCTACGTACGGTGCAAAAGAAGCTCAACATATATACATCCAAATGAGTTCCTGGTGCTATGTGTACCGCGTTGGCAAGATCTTAACTGCCTCGCCTTGTATACACAGGAGGTTGTGGGTTCAATCCCGACCCTGAAGCCTATATATTTGGAGTTTGCGTGTTCTCCCCGTGGTGGCGTGGATTTTTCTCCGGGTCCTCCGGCTTTTCCCTCCACGTTTAGAAACCTGCATTCAGAGTTTTTGCCTGTTGTGGTTCTGGGCCTCCCTTAGGTCGACTCGGCATCAAATGAGTAACCTGGTGCTGGCCACCCACCCCCTCGTCTGCTGTACCAGCCTTCGTAGGTGCTCGCTAATAGCGCTTGCGCCAACAGTCTGTTAAAGATTATATGGGGGATCTTTATACGACTGAGAGTGTGTTGTGGCGAGGTGGGTGGAGCGGTAGTGTAGTTGTTAGCGCATTGCGTTGTAAATCTGGAGTTGATTGCACAGCTATTATAACAATTATCCAAATCTCTCCTGGGCTTCCCCTAGTTCGACTCAGCCTTAAAAAGGTACGTGGTCTGTTGTGTAAGACATCAACACCGGGGAGACAAAGGCAGCCGGGCGAGGTGTTGTCTACACCGCCCCCCCCCCCCCATCGTGCCAACTTTAATAGGCGCTCACTAACAGCACTTGCTCCTAGAGTCTGTGTCGGCTGTCGGGAGGGTGGGGATATTTTTTGTCTTTGCGGCAGCTGAAATCAACCAGTGCTGCTTCTGTGTTGCCACGATTGTACGCGTGATGTCGCTATCGCTGTCGAGAGTAACAACGACTCTACATTCGGCAATAACACTGCCTTGAAAGTAACAAAAACATATATAAAATATACATGATGAAACAAATAATACGAACGTAAAATAACAAAAGTGGCTTTTGGATTATATTATGATAAGTAAAACCCCATTAGAATTTTTTTTTTAGAAACTTGTGGTCGTCAACACTTGGGGCAAGGGCCTTGCTGCATAGCAAGCGCATAGCACGTGCTCCCAAGAAGGGCCATTGCCTGAAACGTCGCCTGTTACTTACTTTGCCTTTTTAAGGCCAAACGGTTCTAATCCCGCTCCTCCGGTCGGCACGTTTTGCTACGTACGGTCTCACACGGTTGACGAGCGAGTTTATTTGTTGCTTGTGCGCGCCGCTGCTCACGTAGCAGCAGCCGCAGCATCAAGGTCTCCGACGTAATGTGTTTTATCGTCGTAGACGCACTTTCTCCGGTGAGTACGAGTCTCCGTCGCGGGTCTCGCCGCGCTTTTCTCTCCCTGACGAGCGCTGAACGCAGCCGCCTGCAAATAGATTTCACGTTTGGAGGCGGCATCGGTGGTTTGGATTCCATTCGTGTGGGGGGGGGGGTGCTCGCTATGTACAGTGCGAAAGAGGTTCAGTATAAAGCACTTACTGCCCATCAAACACTCCCCGTAGACTCTACCCATAGATGAACACTACCCCTCAACTCAACACTACCCATAGACTCAACAATGCCCCTAGACTCAACACTACCCCTCAACTCAACGCTGCCCATAGACTCAACAATGCCCCTAGACTCAACACTACCCAAGACTCAACACTACCCATAGACTCAACACTACCCATAGACTCAACACTACCCAAGACTCAACACTTCCCATAGACTCAACACTACCCATAGACTCAACAATGCCCCTAGACTCAACACTACCCAAGACTCAACACTACCCATAGACTCAACACTACCCATAGACTCAACACTACCCAAGACTCAACACTACCCATAGACTCAACACTACCCATAGACTCAACACTACCCAAGACTCAACACTTCCCATAGACTCAACACTTCCCATAGACTCAACACTTCCCATAGACTCAACACTACCCATAGACTCAACACTGCCCATAGACTCAACACTGCCCATAGACTCAACGCTGCCCATAGACTCAACACTACCCATAGACTCAACACTGCCCATAGACTCAACACTACCCCTCAACTCAACACTACCCATAGACTCCACTGACCATAGACTCAACACTACCCATAGACTCAACACTGCCCATAGACTCAACACTTCCCATAGACTCAACACTGCCCATAGACTCAACACTGCCCGTAGACTCAACACTGCCCATAGACTCAACACTACCCCTCAACTCAGCACTACCCATAGACTCAACAATGCCCCTCAACTCAACACTACTCATCAACTCAACACTTTCCATAGACTAACACTGCCCCTCAACTCAACACTACCCATCAACTCAACACTGCCCATAGACTAACACTACCCATAGACTCAACACTGCCCATAGACTCAACACTGCCCATAGACTCAACACTTCCCATAAACTCAACACTGCCCATCAACTCAACACTGCCCATAGACTCAACACTACCCGTAGACTCAACACTACCCATAGACTCAACACTGCCCATAGACTCAACACTGCCCACAGACTCAACACTGCCCATAGACTCAACACTGCCCATAGACTCAACACTGCCCACAGACTCAACACTGCCCATAGACTCAACACTACCCATAGACTCAACACTGCCCACAGACTCAACACTGCCCACAGACTCAACACTGCCCATAGACTCAACACTGCCCATAGACTCAACACTGCCCATAGACTCAACACTGCCCATAGACTCAACACTGCCCATAGACTCAACACTACCCATGGACTCAACACTGCCCATAGACTCACACTGCCCACAAACTCAACACTGCACGTCCGATTAGCACGGTTGGCTACGTTTGGTGCGAAAGAAGTTCAGCAGACGTGCCCAGCGTCCCTTTTTCAAGAGCCGACGTCGTTTGCTGAAATGATTATGGCGCATGGGAGAAGCTGTCGCAACCTGGCTGAGGTGCGTGGCGAGTCGCCACCCTGAGTCTCGTGTCTCTGCCCGCGTTCCCGCTACAACAGAGCAACGGAAGCCCCCTACTCCTCTCCTGTTTACAGCACTTGAGCCAGTTGAGGAAATTCCACATTTCTGTGGCGGGGGGCGAGCACGTTCATAACGTACGTGTGCTCACAGCAGCAGCAGCGGCAGGCCACAATGCTGAAGGGGAAGGGCAAACGCACGCAACAAAATTACCCGAACGATCAGAAAAAGCAACACCACGCCACGCCCGAGGGCACGCACGCCGACTTGCGGAGGTTAGCGGTGTGGCCGTTAACGACTGTGCCCTCACACAGCCCTTTCGTGAGCAATGCGGCGGTGGTGTTGCCGGCGTTGGTGTTGCCGGCGGTGGTTTTGCCGCCGGGCGGCGGTGAGATAAGCAACGCGCGTGGGTGTGTGACGGCACTGACTTGCTGCTTTCCCTTCCGCTGTGTTTGTAGCATGGCCCCATTCACTTATCTCACTCGAGTGCAGGCTCCTCGCAGAGTGCAGCCGGGATGGCCGCCTCAAGCCTCGCCACTCGCAGCGGAGGTGCTGACGCACGCTCTGGTGACAGGTGACGAAACAAACGCCGCTAGCCCGCCGTGAATTGTTGTCGCTCACGGCTGTTTACCGCTCGCCCGACTTTCACGCTCACCGGTCGTCGACTCGCCCAACCCTCGCCGCTCCAGCGGGGTTAGAGAGGGCGCTTAAAAAAAAATGTTGGTACTTACATGGGACTATCGTTTTTTAATGGAAAAAAACCCAGATAATTCACTAACATGATGACAAATGTATGTTAATAGCTTCATAAAGTGAACGAGTCTCCGCTTGTTAAGACAAATTTGAAGCACCCTGTACAATGCAGCAGGGGAGGCTGTTGGGGCAGTATGTACATAATAGAGGTTTTCTTTTTGTTGGGTTAATCACGTAAATATATAAATGTGTCGTTAAACCCGCCACCACCCGACACCGCCAACTAGTAAGGGTTGTCACGTACACAGAATATGCCAATTCGTCACTAGTACAGCACTAGTGTGTAGTGTAGTGTGTAGTGTAGTGTATAGTGTAGTATACTAGTACAGCACTAGTGTATAGTGTAGTGTACTAGTACAGCACACCGGTGTGTTGGAGAGCCAAGCCACAACATTTACAATCTGAGTGCGACGTTTCGCCAGTAATTACAACCAGCATTATGCATGTGCATTATGCAAGCCAATTGTTCTTGTATCTGTGGGTGGTGGCGGTTTATATTTACGCGATCTAATCCAAAAAAAAAATCTTATTATTAATGATATTGGTCGCGAAGGCTACTTTGTTAAACCGTATGTACACACGTTGAACTCCTTACTCACCGTACGTCGTCAACCGTGCTAATCGGAGGTGCTCGGGGGGGGGGGAGGACAGGGCAGAGGCACGGGGTCTGAGTTGGTGAGCGTCCGCGCGATCCTGGCTTCTGTCCCGTTGTCGTTCTCGTCGTGGTTGTCGTGGCGACAGCGAGCTGATGCCACCGCCGCCACCGCTGTCGGCGACGTTCGTCGTGAGCCGCGCCGCGGACCGGGACAAGGGCCGGATGCCGCCATCGCCACCCTCCTCCGCCCCCTCGACGGCGCCCGCAGGTGCGGGGGGAGCGCGCGCGCACTCGACACGCCGGGTGGTTGCGAGCACGGGAGCCGTGCGCGCGATGGCGGGCCGCGGGCTTTGTTAATGGGGTCTATTACAATTCTTCACAAACACTCTTTTTCAGAAACGACCTGACTATTACAAATGAGAGCTCGACAAAGCGGCGTGTCATCGCGTCGACATTTGCAGCAGCCAAATGAAACGCACGATGATTCTAAATGTGGAGGGGATAATCGGAGAACCTGGAGAAAAATCCACGGGGAGAGACAGATAGAGACACGCAAACTCCAAATCTAGAGCAGCAGGCGAGGTAGTTAACATTTTCGAGCCACCGTGATGATGATGAGAGAGCGACACCGCAAACTCCAAATATACAGCAGGCGTCAGGATCGGGATCGAACCCACGACCTACTGTAGACCAGGCGAGGTAGTTAACATCTCAGCCACAATGATGATGATGAGAGAGAGACACGCAAACTCCAAATATACAGCAGCAGGCATCAGGATCGGGATCAAACCCACGACCTCCTGTAGATCAGGCGAGGTAGTTAACATCTCATAGCCACCATTATGATGATAGAGAGACACGCAAACTCCAAATATGCAGCAGCAGGCGTCAGGATCGGGATCAAACCCACGACCTCCTGTATACCAGGTGAGGTAATCAACATCTCCGAGCCACCGCGTCTACCCCACGATGCCAAGACGATTGCTCCGACGCTCTGGCTACGTTACGGCCGCATCGGAAATGGTGACATTCGCCGGCTGGAAGAGATCTTTTCGGTGTCCACGTCCCCCCCCTCACTCCAATTATATTTGCCTGGCGGAGATGGCGGTTCTATGAGTGGACTTTAATCCAGCGGTGTCGAGCTAACTAGGGGGTTTATGGATCGCACGCAGATGCTGTGAAAGTCCCTTCCCGTGGCTGTTGAGGAGGGGAGGGGGAGCCGTTGTGTACCCTGGCTCGGCCAGGATAAGGCAGCGGCGGTACAGGGACAACGTGGACTAACCTCCATCCGTTCCACCTGTGTGGGATAGCGTTGCCCTCTGGAACGCAGGGGTTCATTTCCGGGTCCTCTGGTCTCCTTCCACGTGCAAACACTCATTCATTGGCTGAAGGCATCTTAATATGTTGAGGACCGCAGAAATTGGCCAGCTGCTGTAAATGTCGACGCGGCGGTTCCTCCTCTTCCCCGAGCCGCACTTTTACCGAATGTGTGAAACAAAGAGCTTTATATCTTCTTGGTTCTTTCGGTAAAGTCACGTAGAAGGGAAATAATGAAATAATAAAAATAATACATAATTAAATAATTCTCACGACGTTTCGGCCACAACGCAAGCAGCCGTCCTCGGGTGAAGAACAGGTCTGTCGGAAAGACAGCGTCTTGCGTTGTGGCCGAAACGTCGTGAGAATTATTTTATTATGTTTTATTTTTATTATTTCATTATTTCCCTTCTACGTGACTTTACCGAAAGAACCAAGAAGATGAATCCCTGCAGTCACGAAAGAAGCTTTAAATCGAAAAGAGTTTTATAGCTTATCGGATTCCTCCGGGGTGAATAATCTGATTATTTGAGAGCGAGCGAACGCTGTGCAGTGGGCGGGCTTTGTTTACAGGTCGTCGTTTAGCATCCTTCTCTCGCGCTTGCCTTCGCCGAGCGAAAGTGGTGACGTGTACGGTCGATTAAACCCCCCCACGACCCACGCAACACTGAGACGCACTCATCCAGCAGTGGATTGGCATCAGGGGGGCCGTACGTGTCGTTTTACGCAATCGCAGGAAACATTACGTAAAGATTACAGATTACCAGATTACAAAAATCTTAATTCGCTGATGTGTATATACATTGTGAGTGTTTCTATTAACACGTCACCGCTGTGGAGGTGACGCTAATGTTGTCCCCGTGTCCCCCCTGTCACATGTCCCGTGGTCCTGCCTCGCCGCGCCTGTCCCGTCCGCCACGGGTCGTCCTCTCCTCCAACGCGTCCGCCGCCTGGACGCTCACCCTCGAACTATCACCCTGGAAAGTATTCCCTTCCTCCCTCCCTTCCTCCTGCTGCTCCAAATGTCCTTCGCTCTCCGACTTATCTGACATTCTCTCGCTCGCTCGCTCTCTCTCTCTCGTCTTGGTTTGTGATGTCGGGTGGGTTGGTTGGTGGGTGGGTTGGCTTGGTGGGTGGGTTGGCTTGGTGGGTGGGTTGGGTTGGTGGGTGGGTTGGCTTGGTGGGTGGGTGGGTTGGTGGGTGGTTGGTTGGTTTGTGTGGTGGGTGGTTGTGTTATGGGTTTGGTGGGTGGGTTGGTTGTGTTATGGGTTTGGTGGGTGGGTGGGTTGGTTGTGTTGTGGGTTTGGTGGGTGGGTTGGTTGTGTTGTGGGTTTGGTGGGTGGGTGGGTTGGTTGGTGGGTGGGTTTATTGTGTTGTGGGTGGGTTGGTTGGTGGGTGGGTTTGGTGGGTGGGTTGGTTGGTGGGTGGGTTGATTGTGTTGTGGGCTTTTTGGGTTTGTTGTGTTGTGGTCTTTGTGGGTGGGTTGTGTTGTTGTGTTTGTTGCCGTATATTCCTCTCTCAAAGAAGGGTACAGCAGCTCGAGTCCACCAAAGAAGGCGATGAAGTCTGACGAGATGCTCAAGTATTTAATTCAGTACGGAGACTCCTCCGACGAAGAGGAAGGGAAAGGTCCCAACTAGGGGGCGGTACCACCACCACCCCCTCCCTCTCACGGGGCTCCTCCCGGAAGAGCGAGACGCACCCCAACAATTACTCTACGGGAGTCGTCTTTTAACGCGAATGCGCTTTGAACAACGGAGCTCCCCGGAATTTAGTACGTCCCGGGGAAGCGGGAGAGACTGCAGAGTGGACGCTGGGCAAAATGCGGCGGCGGCGGCGGTGGTGGTGGTGGTTGCCGGGTTACGAAGCGGCTCCAACCACGCGGCCTGCCCCGGTTAATGCCGCGGTGAGTGTGCGCTTGTGTGTGTGGGGAGCGGTAGTGTAACGGTTAGCAAAGCTGCGCTGTGAACCCGGCGTGCCGAGTTTGATTCCCGCTCACGGCCAACACCAACGGTGACAATCATCCGAACCGGTCATGGGCCTCCCCTAAGTCGACCCAGCCTGAAATTAGTACCTGGCACGTTGTAAACTTCGCCGCTGGGGGAGACAAAGGCGGCCTGGCATGGTTTTGGCCACCCCCCCTCCCCCCTCGTGTGCCGTGCCGACATTCACAGATGCTACTCGCTAACAGCACTTGCCCCACAGTCAGTTCAGGCTATACGGGGGATCTTTGTATTAACCGGAAGAATGCCGGGCACTGTACACTTCGGGGGGGGGGGGGGGGGCGAGGGGAGTGTTAAAGATCCCTTGGTGACGTCGTTCGCGTACGAGAGAGTGGTTGGGCCGTTGTGTGCCGGCGTCGTCACGCTCCAGATATTTGTTCGAATCGGGGAAAGTCCCCACCGCAAATGAAGCCACGATGGGGGGGTAAGGGGCGGGAGAGTGAGCGGGGGGGTAACGCACATGAACATCGCCCCCCCCCGCACGGCACGCCGTGAGCAAGGGAGGGGGAGAGCCTCCGGAGAAAGCCAGAGCCTGGAGAGAGAGAGAGAGACACACCCAGCAGCGAGGTTTTTGCGGGCAAATAAATCTGAAGCTGATGTGTCGTCGTTAAAATTATGGAACGACGCCGCTGTTGTTTTAATGTGGGGGGGGTGGGGGGGGCGGTGGAATACGGTGACTGCACACGCCGCGGTAGAGACTACATCCTGAACACCGCAGCCGTTTTGGTGGGTTTTTTTTTTTCATCCAAGGGCTCGGGTGTTTTGTGTTCACGCGCAACACCAGGAGACGCGGCGGGGACGCTGCCTCTTCCTGCGTTTTGTCATTCGCCGGCAGTGTACTTGACAGGGTAGGCAGTTTGCAATGTTGCTAAAGACGGTTTAGACGCGTCGAGCATTGCTTTAAATGCCACTGGGGTGTGTGGTTAAGTTGGGGCGTTGGAATTTCCATCCGGTGCAGATACAACGGCTAGACTGATCGATGCCCGGGTGCGGTCGAGGGATGGCTCCCCTATTGGTCAACCACGTGATGTGTGCTGATGATCTGGTGATTGCTGCTCACTCAGAGGAGGAGTTGGAGACGCTGTTGCTGAACCTGGAGTGTGCCAGTTCCAAAACTAAGCACTTGCCTGGATATTTTGTGCCACCAAACACTCCACTCCCTCATCTCTCCATTGGTGATGGAGCAGTTGTGGAGAGAGTGGAGAATCCCCGTGTGCTTATGACCGGCTCCGGTTTGACAGCAGAGGTCTCACTCCGAATCAGTCGGGCGGCATTATCTTATCACCGGCTGCGCAACGCTTTGTGGAAGCTACCTGGCCTGTCGCTCCGCACAAAGCTTCAGGTGTTCTCGGCCACTGTCATGCCCTCCCTTCTCTACGCTTGTGAAACGTGGACCCCTCTAACGTAACATATGCGCCAGTTAGAAACATTCTGGCTGGCATGTCTACGATCCATCCTGGCTTTAACCAGGCTGGATTGTGTGGGGAGCTCACAAATCCTTGAAAGATGTGTAAATATTCCCATCAGTGAGCTCCTCCGGCAGGAAAGGCTTCGTTGGCTGTGTCATGTAGCCCGCATGCCCAGCTACCGCATGCCCAATCAGCTTCTGTTAGGCCGCATAGAGGGGGCTAAACGGGCACGACATGGTCTGGAGAAGAGATGGAGCTGATGCGGTACAGGAGGACGTGGAGCTGAGTGGACTTGCCGACGACTGGTACCAGCGGTGTCAAGATCGGCCTCTGTGGAGGAGGCTCGTGAAGGACGCTGCTGGGCAGTTGGAGGCAGTAGCCCTCCAACAGCAACGGAGGGCGGAGGAGCGACGCTCACAACAACGAGCGGAGCGCCGGGCGGCTAAAATGCAGCAAGTTGGCACAGTGGAGGGTACAGTTGGTGCATCAGCCAGTCATCTCAGTCAGCCATGGCACCTGGGTCTGTCCTGAGACCTCCTGTCAGCGAGCCTTTGATACTTCACGTTGCCTCAAAGTGCACCTGGCCTGGCACCCGGCGCCACGGTGACGTCACCGTCACTTAGTGGCGAATGGCGGGGTATTGGGGCATAATTTTGGGTAGACAATGGATAGTTCAGAGGTAATGGGTGAAAGCCATAGGACTGCCTTTCTAAAGCTCCCTATGCATTTTATTATTAAGTGTTTGGTCATTTGTACCGCGCGGTTACTTTGCTAAGCCAAGTGTAAATTTTCTCGCACGTTGAGTTTGCTCGGAGGACAACACACTGTGAGAGCGGCACCGCTGAGATCCTGCGTATGGACCTGAAAACTCAATTTCTCTGTACAAGAATACGGGCTCAACCGTGTGGGTTGACGCGTACGCGTTCTCAAGGCTAACAAGGCGATGTTCTTGGCCTGAATGCCACTAAATGACGCACAGAGACCCCTCGGCTCGGGTTGACGTAGAGAACCTGGAAAACTTTCATAGGTTGAGCTGTGATGAAACCGGGGCTGAGTCAGCGAGCTGAACTTCTTTCGCACCGTGCGTAGCCAACCGTGTTATTCAGGAGGTGCCGGGACAAGTCAACGAATGGAACAAAAGCAGTTGTCAAGAAACGATTTCTCAATTTCGATTTAAAAGTGCATCGCTCCCCCAAGTGGCTTCCTCATCAAGAGTCGGTCTCGGCCCCAAGTCACCAACGGGACCGTACAGAATAACCGTGGCGTTGCATTCGGCTCAACTTTCACCTCTGTGAATTTAATTTAACCGTCACGTGGCAAACGGCGACCGCACATCAGTGTGTTTCGGGGTTGCCCCTCACCCTACACCCCCACGGTGGCTATGAGGTGTCGTCTCCCTCGCCTGATATGCAGGAGGGCGTGGGTTCGATTCCAACCCTTGACGCCTGCTGTATATTTGGAGTTTGCATGTTGTCTCTCCCCGTGATCGTGTGGATTTTTCTCCGTGTCCTCCGGTTTCTCCCTTTGACATTTTAGAATCGACATCACGCGTTTAGAATATTTGGCTGCTGTAAATTTCGACGTGGTGATGATGATGAGCCCACTTGGTTGGGCGGTCATCTGTGGCCCGGTCGCTTCTGCAAAAGAGCTACATGGCTCAGCGGGCCTTAGCTGATGAAAAATTTTAAGTTTATTTGGGATAAAATTGAGACGAAAAAATTGGGGAGCTTGGTTGGCCTAATGTTCGCCAGCTGGCCAATAAGTGAATGAATGAAAGGGTATTCTTTAAAAAATGTCTTTGTTATAAAATGTCGTTTCACCTTCATGAGATGTGGTTAGCGCAGTATTAAAGCAAGCTGATATTGACATGCCAGCAACGAAGTTGGGAGGGAAAGACAAATAAGAGAACATTTTAAAAAGATTTACAGAATTGCCCGCTTGTCTGTTGAATGGGTTTGGTGAGAAAACCTCATCACATTTACAAGGTGAACAATTTTTAGTATCCATATTCTCTTAACACTCGCTAGAATGTTGTACAGTCGTTCGTATATGTTTACGAAAAAAGTCTTTAAAATAAAAAATGCCTCCTTTTGAAAAGTGTGTGTGTTGTGAGCAATTAATACCCAACTAAAACTTTTACATCCAGCTTTTTGGTATTCCCCATGCAAGCCTTGAGCACCCCCACACAGCAGAGGTCGCAACCGGGTACCCGTACCCTACCCGATACCCGGCTACCCCTACCCGGCCGGGTACGGGTACCCGTTTGCGACCCTGGTGCGGCCGGGTACGGGTAGGCCGTGAGTCACTGGTGAGTCACCGTTTGTCACTCATTTCCCAACGTCTTGTCTCTTCTCACAATTCAAGTTCCTAGAATCAACCCACCCGCGCCTGCAACATGGCTTCATCCCAGAGGTCGCAATCAGGTACCCGATACCCGTACCCTACCCGATACCCGGCCGGGTACGGGTACGGGTACGGCCGGGTACGGGTACCCGTTTGTGACCCTGGTGCGGCCGGGTACGGGTAAGGAATCAAAACCCGTTTGCGACCTCTGTCACACGGCACGACACCGTAGCCAACCCGGTCCCCTTGGGCACCGACTCCACGGGGAGCTCCTCAACATCCACGCCGGCAAGCGGACGCAGTCCGCGCAGCTCTCATTCGCTGGCTCGTGCGCCCGGCAGTATTCACCAGGGCGGCCGGTGCGTGCTCAACCACCAACCTCTGTGAAAAGTATTCAACCAAAATTTGCTTTTACCCGGTAAAGTCCACCGAGCTGTTTTCAGAAGCGACCTGGCCACTTGGCACGTCTTGTTTAAGGGATGGCGGAGTTTTAACGACATTTCTATGTACGAGATCTCACCCAGAAAAACCTTAAGCTTAATATTGGTGACGAAAGGCCTACGTGGTTGAACTTGGCCATAACATGATAGGTCAACGAGAAGTGGCGTATGTGGAAAGTTGTACCGGTGGCCTTTTTAATGGGGGACCCTGCACGTTGGTTCTTGACGTGGAGGGAAAACCCGGAGAACCCAGAGGAAAAATCCACGGGAAGAGAGGCACGCAAACTCCAAATGTCCAGCAGGCGTCGGAGTCGTGCCCACGACCTCCTGTATCGCAGGCGAGGTAGTTAACATCTTCGCTGGACGCTGCTGAGACGGTGCGACTTGAACGTGGGTTCGGGCACCCGTCGTTATTTTACTGGTAGGAACGAAGTGAACCAGCCTACAATAGATTATATCGTCCGTCCGTGTAGCAACATCGCCCCCTACTGCAAACACTTGGCAGGACCCTACAAAAACCTTTAGACTGTGACGCTTTCCTGGCTAAACAAGTGTAACATTCCCTTATAATTCCCTGAGATAGCTTTTAATTAAAACATTTAAATTAAAAATTAACTCACAGCGGCCTAAAGCCTACAGCTAGGCCTAAAGCCTAGAACTAGGCCTCAAACTCTCCCTTCATATCGTCCGATTAGGTGTAGCAACATCGCCCCCTACTGCAAACACTTGGCAGGACCCTACAAAAACCTTTAGACTCAGTGAGGCTTTCCTGGCTAAACAAGTGTAATAATACATTATGTTTATATTCTTTGGTTATTCGTTCCTACCAGCCCACCCCGCAGGGTCCTGTTTGTTAATTCATTCGGTCAAAAAGAGCAAAAGGTGTCCTCTTAAAAAATAGCTTTTATTAAATATTTCGCTTCGACGTTTCACAAACGTGACCGTGCAAAATAAAGTTAACGGACCTTCCGCTACCGCGCTTACGCAATCTGGCTTGGCGATGAGGGTTGTGGTGTCGGCGGGGGGAGCGTGAATGCGAGGCGGGGAATAAAGCGAGGGGAGTAGGGAGGGGAGGGGGGTGCATTTTTGTCACGCGACGACATCTGCGAAAGTCAACGGCTCGCAAGAAATGTGTGAGCCCCCCCCCCCCCCCTCCGAGCAAGCCACCGGTTTGAGAGCGACGTGCGTTCCAAAGAAAACAACGGCTCCCGTGGGGGGTGGAGCGTTCGCTGGGCCGAGAAAGTGTTGGTTTACAGCCCCCCCCCCCCCGTGGCGTGCCTTGACTCGCAGCGAGCGGAATGTCCGGTCCGTCCGTTGGCTGAAAGGTTTTTGTTTTTGACTTTCTGGTTCAGTGGAGTTGCTGCTCGGCTTGCACCGCTGCCCCCCACAGCGGAGTAACGGTGAGCAGTGGGGGGGGGGGGGGGGGGGGCGGGGGGTAGAGTCTGTAAGGTCCATGACGATGATCGGGCTTGCCTCCTGTTGGCGTGAGATGGGAGAATCCCACCTGGTTCCACCCCGGTCCTCCGTGCACCCGGTCTGCAAAGTCGGACCCCGGTCACGGTGTTGGTGGCGGTCACGGTGTTGGTGGCGGTGGTGGTGGTGGTGGTGGCGGTGGCGGTGCTGGCGGTGGTGGTCGCGGTGGTGGTCGCGGCGGCGGCGGCGGTGGTGTTGGTGGCGGTGGTGGTGGTGGCGGTGGCGGTGGTGGTGGTGGCGTCTGTCCACGGGCCCCTCCCACCCACCCCTCGGCACTTTCACGAGCTCGCCTTCGGTTCACCTTGGCGTGCTTTCGCGAAGGTGAACTGAAGGCGAGATCGAGCTGCGGCAAAGTCCTGGCGCCGGGGGTCTTCCCCGTCAATGATTAAGCTGTCCGTGCTGCTGCTGCTGCTGCGCTTTGGTTTGTCACGTTCCCCGCCACCCTGCGATGTCCTCTAGCCGCCCACCCCCCCCCCCCCCACCGTGTCCTTGGCCCACCGGTCATCCCCGCAACGGAGCTGCTCGGCTCAATGTGGGACGGGGGAGGGGGGGGGAGGCCACCCGCCTGCTGAAATAACAAATCGTGACCGCGAAGAGGTGAAGCAGTGGACCTGCGGTGCCGTGTCGACGGGAGCCCTACCTGGCGGGGTGGAGGGGGGGTGCGACAATGCCCACCCCACACCCCCCACACCCCCCCACACCCCCCCCCCCCCCTCCAGCCTCGCGCCCTCTCTCCCCCGTCGTGGAAGCGTTCTGTTCCAAGAAGGACCGTGCGGACCCGACGAGAATCTTCGTGCGAATCGTCGCGGTTGTGTTCGTTCGTGATGGGTTCCCTCCTGTCCAGAGGTCGCAACCGGGTACCCGATACCCGTACCCGGCCGGGTACAGGTACCCCGTTTGCGACCCTGGTGCGGCCGGGTACGGGTAGCAGCACGTGACACCCCAACCAATGAGTGAGAAGGCCGTGAGTCACCGTTTGTCACTCATTTCCCAACGTCTTGTCTCTTCTCACAATTCAAGTTCCTAGAATCAACCCACCCGCGCCTGCAACGTGGCTTCATCCCAGAGGTCGCAATCAGGTACCCAATACCCATCTACCCTACCCGTACGGGTACCCGTTTGCGACCCTGGTGCGGCCGGGTACGGGTAAGGAATCAAAACCCGTTGGCGACCTCTGCTCCTCTCCGCCCGCCCGCCTCGCTGTCTAAGCGGGGTCCAGAGCGACGAGTCGCTGCTTGCCGCTGCCGGGAAGTTCACCGGGCGCTTGGCTCATCTGCTGCGTGAACCGCCGTCGCTTGAACCTGCAGAGAGCGACGGGAGGGGGGGGGGTGAGGCAGAGAGCGACGGGAGGGGGGGGGGTGGTGAGAGACACGGGGAGGTGATGGCACGCAGGAGGACAACGCGCGGCGATGGAGCTTTGCCCCAATCCTCGCCAGCTGGCTCGACGAAACTCGACTAGCACAGAGACTCGTAGAGTTGCATATAGATACAGAGATGAATGCATAGAGACTCGTAGAGTTGCATATAGATACAGAGATGAATGCATAGAGACTCGTAGAGTTGCATCGGGATACAGAGAGAACCCGTAGAGACGCATCGGTTTGCCCGATCCTAGTAAGCCGGCTAAACGAACTTAAACAAAACTAACTATAAACTTCATCTTATTGGTTCTTTCGGTAAAGTCACGTAGAAGGGAAGTAATAAAATAATAAAAATAAAACATAATAAGTCACGTAGAAGGGAAGTAATACAATAATAAAAATAAAACATAATAAAAATATTTTTATTATTTTGTTACTTCCCTTCTACGTGACTTTACCGATAGAACCAAGAAGATGAATCCCTGCAGTCACGAACGCTTTAAATCGAAATTTAACTATAAATTATTATACAATTTTTTTTATTTTACCAGGCAAGGCCCACTGAGCTATATAGCTATTTTTCAGAAGGTGCCTGGCCCAAAATTATTGCTCAACGAAGTGGCTTATCATCATGTAAACGTGTGAGTTGAGTGTGGAGGTAAAACCCGTGGGGACCCGGAGAAAAATCTACACGACCACGGGGAGAGAGAGAGTCACGCAAACTTCCAAATATGCAGCAGCAGGCATCAGGGTCACGGGATCGAACCCACGACCTCCTGCATACCACACGAGGTAGTCAACATCTCGCCACCGTGATGATGATGAGAGAGAGATGCAAACTCCAAATATACAGCAGCAGGCATCGTCAGGGTCGGGATCTGATCCACGATCTCCTGCATACCAGGCGAGGTAGTCAACATCTAGCCACCGTGATGATGAGAGAGAGACGCAAACTCCAAATATACAGCAGCAGGCATCGTCAGGGTCGGGATCGAACCCACGACCTCCCGCACACCAGGCGAGGTAGTCAACATCTCCTAGCCACCGTGATGATGATGATGAGAGAGAGAGACACGCAAACTCCAAATATATAGGAGCAGGCGTCAGGGTCAGGATCGAACCCACGACCTCCTGCATACCAGGCGAGGTAGTCAACATCTCCTAGCCACCGTGACGATGATGATGAGAGAGAGACGCAAACTCCAAATATACAGCAGCAAGCATCGTCACTGTCACGGGATCAAACCCACGACCTCCTGCATACCACGCGAGGTAGTTAACATCTCCTAGCCACCGTGATGATGATGAGAGAGAGACGCAAATTCCAAATACACAGCAGCAGGCGTCAGGGTCGGGATCGAACCCACGGCCTCCTGCACACCAGGCGAGGTAGTTAACATCTCCTAGCCACCGTGATGATGAGAGAGACGCAAACTCCAAGAATACAGCAGCGTGCATCGTCAGGGTCACGGGATCGAAC